TATAGGGAAAATCGCATCAACTACCTTTAAATATATCATGTTTCATTGATTTATTATCTAATTATCTTTTTTTCTCGAGTTAAAAAAAACGTAATCTATGGGTATTTTTTGTTCATTCTCTTTGATCAGACACTTTAAAAAGAACTTGGCTTCAAAATATTGTAACTTAGCTTAATTGTCCAAATTCGAAATATACATTTTTTCCTTTTTTTTTTTATAGACTATGGGTTCTAGTAAAAAGAATTCTAAATTTTTATTACATAATTAATCAAAAATATAAATAACATGCAAATTTATTTGTGTTCTGTCTAAGCCTAACTTGTCACGTATGCCTATTGGGGGACAAAGCTCTTCTCTCATCGTGGAAATTTTTTTATAATATCCAAAATACTCATTAATTTTTTTTAAAAATGCAATGAAAGATATATATTTTTCATAATTCTAAAATTCAAATCTAATACGTTTAAAGAAACCAAAGCATTTGGTTAAAACGATCCAATTTGAAATTCTGTCCTCCAGTAACCATGAAAAAAAATGAAAAACTCCTCGATATATCAAATAATGCAGGAAACTTGAAAATTTACAGTAAAAAAAATTATGTCTACCCATGTCAATGTAACATCGATTGGCCAACATTATCGATAAAAAGTTAAAATAAAAGATTTTTAAAAAATAATGGTGAAATTTTGAGGTTATTTTTATCACAATGGTGATAAATATTATAAAAATATTTGAGTTTATAAATATAATAAAAATATTTTCAGTTATTATTAATTAATTGTAAATTAAATACTCATTTAATGAAATTTTTAATTATATTTATATGTACAGAAATATTTTCAATTTAACCAATTAAGGACAAATATTTTCTCTCTAATATTTTGTTTGCTTCTAATAGAAGGATCCCTTTCGCCAAGACTTTCGAGGGGGTTTCCTGCAGAAATTTGCTATTAAGTCTAAATCAAATCAGGCTGTAAAGGGCCGCGACCCCACAGCCTACCGGCTCCAAAGCGCAAGGTTAGTGGGCATTTAAAATTGCCCGGGCCACACGTCTTTTCACCCACACGTGTACCCTTCGCCACGCGTCCGATACCCCGTCCCCGCTCATGCACTCGCCTGCAATCATTGGCACCACAAGTTGGTTTGCTTACCCGCACGAGCGGTTTGCTTAAATGCCAGTGCCGTATATATATTTCTTTTCCGCCTTTTGCCCCTTCCCTTTTGTTTTCCCTTAATCATCTTCGTTTTTGCACGTAACATCTCTCTCCTATTGGACCACGTGTCCCTCTCCAGAATTCATTCTCTCTTTTTTTTTCCTCTTTATTAATTGATAATAATTGTACAGTACTTACTTACGTTATTAAAGCATATGTTTTTCTTTTCTCTTTTTTTTTTCTTCCTCCCTTCTTTAACATACTTGGATACGGTAAGTACACTTTAGGATTTGTAGGCTAACATCAAGGCTGGATTTGGTGTTTGTCGTTGTGTTTGCCTGCACAAAACCAAAACTACTCCTTCTTAAAAGGGTGTGGCTTTTTTTTTTTTTTTCATTTTTGAGAGAAGTTTTGCTCAGATAAGTTGGCAGGAATGAGCTTTCACGTGAACACCAATAATGCTCATGCCTGGATTCAGATTAAAGCATACATCACTACTAAACTCTCTTTTCTTGGTTTGACTTTACAATCCACGTGTATAAGAATTTTAATTCGTGAAATTTAAAAGCTTTAATATAAACATTTATGTGTGTCTTGCATTAATTAACATTTTAAATTTATTTCTCATTACCTCCATATATACTATATAGAGTAGTGATAATTAAAATCTCATATCAATTAAACTAAAAATATTTTAAATATATAAATATAATAAAAAAATTTCATTTGTTAACGATGAATTTTAAATTAAATATCTGTTTTAAAAAAAATTAATATGATATCAAAATCTGTCCTAAAATTTAAACGTACGTTTTAAAATTTTTTGCAAAATTTTATTATCAAAACTATAACCTTAATAGGACGGAATGACGAGAAAAAGAGAGAAAGTGTACAACCTTGAATAAAGTTAAATGTCATTTCACTATATATATATATATATATATATTTGCATAGTGATGGTGGGGTCTTTGCTTTGTTGCACGTCCTAGATTTCTTCATGATTAGAACAGCTCATATGAGAAAATGAGAATCAATAATGGCGGTAATTAGCAGCTAGCAGTCATAATCATCAATCAATTAGTTGAACAAGTAATGCTTTTGCAATCCAACGCTTTATGTTGATGCCACGATTATTGTGCTGCATGCAAGAAAATTAACCGAAACAAAATTTAAAGTTGAACGAATATTAATAATGCATTACTTTATATATATATATATATATAATACTAAGATCACGTACTTTTCTTTGACCAACCACAATTTTCGAAAACCAGCCGCCTCCCACCTAGCTAGAATCCCTCTATAAAAACTTTAAAAATAATTAAAATGCCTTTCACGTTTCAATACATACGTAAAATTTTGATCAATAATTTTCAATCTAATAATTATTAATATTATTTTATGATACATGAAGTCCATAATTAATTCATCAAAGAAAAAAAATCCACAATATATAAACGAGACATATTCGAGTATTAAAAATCATAATAACAATACATTAAGTGGTTGAAAAAGTATTGACTTTCTTTTCCTTTTTAAGAGGTGAAATTTTTTTTAAGTTTAAAATCTAAATCCATAACGTTTATGCACATAAACGTTTTATGTAAGTAATTAAATCTTGATGCTTGTGATTAATTATTTGTGAATTTTTATGTCAAGTAGGAGTTTGTACTACGAGATTATTATTATTTTTATTAAGAAATTAATTGATGGGCTGTATAGCTTTATAAATTTTTTAATATTTTTTATCTTTTCCATATGTAATTAAAACATTTTACTGAACATTTATGGACTTTTTGAAATGATTTTATTCTTTTTCATTCGGTTGAACAATTTTTCAGAATCTAAGACAAAAATGAAACAGCAAAAGAGATTTACCATTCCATATATTGTAAAATTATAAGGTCAATTGACAAAGATATTTGGCAAGAGGCAATATTCAATCATAGTAATAGGGATGTCGGCAGAAGTTTCGAAAACAACAAAGTAAATGTTACATTAACCGGTCATTTCTTGCTTATCTAAATTATCTAATTGATGGACCAAATTCAACCGTAATCCTTGTCACCGAATTTTAATAAATCATCGGAAAAGGATTTGTTGAAGAAAAATGGAAGATTGTGAAAGGACTCCTTTGGTGATTATGTAAAGGAGGGGAGGGGACAAAGGCAAGATTAATGCTAATAATATAGGCCAAACTCAAAATGATAATGTCCAGTCGAATATGTTACAATCCATAAATTGGTTCTTATTTTTGCTTACTTTCTTAACTGTTTCTTTCGTTTTGTATTACTATCTCAAACGTTGATATAAATTATATATATATAAATTGCACTAAGGAAATACGAATACAAATATAATTGCTTTAATTAATGGAAGCAAAATCATGTATTTTATGATTTATTTATAGAGTCCAAAATTTTAAAATTTTCAAATATTATTATTTGCTTTTGTATTAAATCACACATTTTGATGGTTGCTTTAAAAACTAATTAAAAGAAAAAAATAAAAGTGACATTAGATTGGATCCTTTGGTAAAAGAAATTGGATATTATAATACTTAATTAAATGAACAAGAATAAGATTGTTTTTTTATATTTAGAGAAGGGAATTCGAACTTTATTTTTTTTACAGAAAAATCATGCATTAATTCATTAACTAAATACTTTGATGTAAAATGGTATTGAAATTAAGTAGTACAAGACTCAATATTCTTTTTATTTAGAAGCATGAAAATTCAAATTCTGCTATTTGATGAAAAGGTCAAATACTGGAATATAAATATTTAAATACATGAGTTAAGAAGATTAAGAAAAAAATCACCAATTTTTACGTAACATGAAAATTAAAAATATAAAAATTGTTTTACTATTTTAAAATTAGACCAGCTATATATGTGTATATAAAATTAAATTTTAAATTAACATTTTACTCTACTGACGTAAGAGAGATAATATTTGAGTTTCTTTGATCTCTTACTCTCTCTCTCTCTGTCTCTCACTCTGTTTGACTGTCCAATCCACTTTGGCCCGCTTCTGGTTGGTCTTCTGTCCATTCACAGTCCTTTTGGGCTAGACCGCAATTATATAGTTTGACCTTGACTGCTGCCAAGTTTGCATGAAGCTCCAGTTCACCTTTGCCAAACGAAAGCCAATAAAGTACTACTATGTGGGATTTAAGCATAAAGAAGCTGCCATTAAACAATTAATGAAGGGAAAGGACCATGCAATCTGCTTTCCATTTTTGTATTTTTATTTCTGCTCTGTTAAAACCAACGTAAAATCACTGAAGACAGTAAAAATATTGTTAAAAATCGAAAATAAAACTTGCCCATTACTCCATTAGTCCTTGGACCCATGAGTTCAATTTTTAAGCACAAAAAGAGGCAGCAGTTGCTCCATTATTTGCCTTTATATATTGCCTATCAAGAATAAAGAAAGCAGATGCAGCAAAAAGCCTTTTGATCCTCAGAAAGAATGTCATGAATCTGAAATTTTTATTTGTGAAAGGGAAACATTTTCTTAAGTGTTGCCAATTCGTTTGCCACTTTCCGCTCTTTTCCCTTAAAGGTTAGCGAAAGCATCCAAATTCGATCGAGCATGAAAAGTAAGCTTACTGGCTTCAAAGCTTTCCATTAAGTTCGGTTTTTCATCAAAACCACCTGCCGTAAGTGACTTTAAAGTCTCCAGAAACGGAATTTACTTTTCAAAAACAAAAGTAGACATCTGATTTCTTTCTTGGAAAGCTAACCAAATTATTCACCCATATACACATATAAAAAGAGAGTAGAGGAAGTAGGAGGAGGAACCAGGAGAAGAAGAGAGGAAGAAGAAAGAGTCGGTATCCATGCCTGACTCAGAGCATGTTTTCTTGTTTCTTCCTTCTTTCTTATCTCTGATTTTGTTCTTCATTCTCATCAAGAGAAAGCGAAGAAGATTCAATCTTCCACCTGGCAGAATGGGGTGGCCTTTCGTGGGTGAAACAATTGGTTACTTGAAGCCTTACTCTGCTATATCAGTGGGAGAATTCATGCAGCAGCACATGTCAAGGTAAATTAAACTTTCCCTGTTAGAAAAATGAAAAGCAAATTGAAGCAAAAGCCTTTTTCTAAAGAATCAAACTCTTTCCTATGTTTCAATTATCATGCAGGTATGGGAACATCTACAAATCAAATTTGTTTGGCGAGAAGACAATCGTCTCCGCAGATGCTGGGTTGAATAAGTTCATATTACAGAACGAAGGAAGATTATTTGAGTGCAGCTATCCGAGAAGTATTGGTGGCATTCTCGGGAAATGGTCTATGTTGGTTCTAGTTGGAGACATGCACAGAGACATGAGAATTATATCACTGAACTTCTTGAGCAACGCCAGGCTGAGGACTCATCTGTTGAGAGAAGTGGAGAAGCATACCTTGCTTGTTCTGAGTACCTGGAAAGAGGATTGCATATTTTCAGCTCAGGATGAAGCAAAAAAGGTAGAAAGAAATCTTGGAAGTCTATGAAATTAGCTTTCTTTATTTGAACATATATCCAAGAAAAGTGGTTAGCTTATGTTTTAAGGAATATGCTCTGCAGTTCACTTTCAATTTGATGGCAAAAAATATTATGAGCATGGATCCTGGACATCCTGAGACCGAGCAGCTCAAGAAGGAATATGTTACTTTCATGAAAGGAGTTGTTTCGGCTCCTTTAAATTTACCTGGAACTGCATATAGAAAGGCCTTACAGGTATAAACTATAAAATTAAACCCACATATGCTATATATTTCTTTTGGTCATGAATCTGATGGTTTAATTTTCTTTGTTGTTCTGCTTCTGACAGTCTCGATCAACTATCCTCAAATTTATTGAGAGGAAAATGGAAGAGAGGATAAAGAAAACGAAGGAGGGAAAAGAAAATCCCGAGGAAGATGATCTTCTTGAATGGGTTTTGAAGCATTCAAACCTTTCGACAGAGCAAATCCTTGACTTGATCCTGAGCTTGCTCTTCGCTGGGCATGAAACTTCATCAGTAGCCATAGCTTTAGCCATCTACTTCCTGCCGGGTTGTCCCACGGCTATTCAACAGTTGAGAGTAAGCAACTGCCGACCCTTATCTAACAGGCAGTGCAACCTTTCCTTTTCGTATATCCAATTAAATCCTTTTGATTCATCATTTTCTTTTTATTATTTTTAAACACCCAGGAAGAACACCTTGAAATTGTCAGAGCCAAGAAGCAGTCAGGGGAGATGGAACTGAACTGGGATGATTACAAGAAAATGAAATTCACACAATGCGTAAGCTCTTTTCATTAACCTTAAATCTATACTATTTTGGGTCATTTGCTATGATTAAGATCATGTTTTGATTTTCTTTCCATGTTTTTACTTTCTAAAGGTTATCAATGAGACGCTTAGGCTCGGTAATGTTGTCAGATTCCTTCATAGAAAGGCTCTCAAAGATGTTCGGTATGGAGGTAACTTGGAGATACTAACCTTTTCTACTTTATTAACTTTACTGGCTTAGTCAAACAGCATCAAAACTGATACTGAAAACCCATTTTTTTTCCTTATGCTGGAAAGGGTATGATATTCCATGTGGCTGGAAAGTGCTCCCAGTGATTGCAGCTGTGCACTTGGATCCCTCTCTTTTTGACCAGCCTCAACACTTCAATCCATGGAGATGGCAGGTCAGTCTACTTATTTACCAGATCATGCCTGTGTAATAGTTGTTGATTTGCTGTTATTCAGATGGTTTCCATTTTCATTTTGAAGTCCTAAAAAACTCATTATCTATTCAAGGTAGTACTAGTAGGCAAGAACCAACATGAGTTCATTCGGATTGTATGCTAGTTTAGACTAGTTTTTTTGTCAATGATCCTAGAATAGTACCGTTCAATGAGCTACAAAGAGTTTTCTTTGGATGCCAAATGAAATAAAAGTGTCAAATTAATTTTCAAAATATCTAATTAATTAAAAAAAGAGCAGATAGAGTCTGAAACTTTGCTGATCCTTTAGTCTTGACTCGTCAATTTTTGTCACTATACTCGTAAGCAACCGAGATCACGATGTCTTGAAAGAAGACAGAAGAGAAGTGGTGAGATGCGTCTAAACTCTATACTCCCCTAATTGACTTTAAATAGATAAATGTTCATAATGTCAACAATATATACACAGTGGTTGCATTTGATTTTTAGACTCGATGTCCATGATAAATATCTCGTCCGATCCTTAAATAGTTTTAATACAAAACACTTGAGTTAAAGTTTTTTATCTTAATCTATCCATAATATAGAAAAATAAAGAAAAGAACCAAAGCAATATATGTATTTTTATTTAAAAAATGGAGTTTAATATTTTTAAAAAATATATATAACAAAGGAATACGGAGTCCTCAAAAACTTATAAAATATTAATTTGAGACATTTGTACTAGGCAAATAAAGATATCATTGTGGTTACAAGATAAGTGGTCACAACTAATAATGAAGAGCGTAGGTGTATGAATTGTCTTGGACATTGATATCTACTCTCTCTTTCCTCGGGGAATGATAGCATTACCCACGAGCCATAAGCTCTCTTCTTTTCCCTTATTCTTTTAAAAGTAAAAAATTGGATAAATTTTTCATCATTGTAGCAGTGTGGCAAATGTTTTTAGGAATTAATATTGGTGCAAACATTGAAACCATGTGGGGTCTTTCAAAGTTCCATCAAAGCCGTTGATCACTGTCGCATCAGGATAACGCAAAATCAGCTTTAGGGGAAAGATATCTGAAAGACAAGCTACGATCCAACGGATCCTCTTATCACATGAACTGTCATGATCAATGAACCCTTGTCGCGTGCTGCACGGACGTTTGGTCCCTCGCTCCCCTCCCCTCTCAAAAACCAAAACCGGACCGGACCAGGCTTTGGGGGTCTGGCCTCTACTCTCGTGCGTGTGGGGAGGTGCGGGGGTTTGAAGTTGATGATTAAAGCCCCCATGTGGCTGTGGGGTTCTCACATGCACGTGCAGGGGGGTGCCCTTTTTTATTTCTGGTGGGTGAATCACAGTTCATAGGTTGGTCAAAAAAAAAAAAAAGAATTGTTATTACTAGTCAATAAAATGCCTGAAAGGTTACCGAGAAGGTTAAAGAGAGCACTGAACCATACAAATTCTACTAAAGTTGAGACAATGACTAGTCCCCATATTGAGAAGTTTTTTTTTTTTTGGTATACATGTCCCATATTATTATTTCAGTTTAGCTACAAATGCATGCACGTTCGGTACATTTAGATCCTTTTCATAAAGTTTTCTTACCAAAAATCTTCTTCATGCCATTATTAATCATGACAGGTACATGCTATAGTGCATGTCGTACTGTTAAAATCTCAATTTTTTTTGTGCATTTAACATGTATTCAAGTTAGAGAGGCATACACCCTACTTGCACATGCTTCATCAAGCTTGAATTTAAGTTTCTTCGTCTCTGTCTACGTACAAAATCCATGTCATAAAACAAGTTTCTGATATAATTTTCATTTGTTAAATCAGTAGACACTTTTCGTTGTCTTAATTCATGCATGCATCTGCCCGTGCTACTATTTCTTGAACAGCTTGTGTTAGATTATTGATCACTATCTCCCGTCCGATTGATTCATTTGGATGCAGCAAAATAATAATACTACTTGTGGGACGTCTCCTTCGTCTTCGTGCCCGTCGACGCCCACCGCGTCGAGCAGCAATTACTTCTTGCCCTTCGGGGGAGGACCACGGCTATGCGCGGGGTCAGAACTGGCTAGACTCGAAATGGCGGTCTTCATCCACCATTTGGTCCTCAACCACCAATGGGAGTTAGCTGATGTGGATCAAGCCTTTGCCTTCCCTTTTGTCGACTTCCCCAAAGGCTTACCCATCAGAGTCCAGCGCCACACTTCGGATATGAATTAAAAAAGAGACATGGGTCCTTTCTGGCAGTCTCAGCCGCTCGGGCATTGCACCAAAGCTACTAGCTTTGATCTGTGCGTGGGAGACGATGTTGGCTTTTGTATTTGCCAACGGTTTTAGTTGTTTGACGTTTATATATATATAAATATCACATGAAGAAAAAGGGGAAAGACAAAGAGAATCAAAGTACGTAACAGAGATAAAAAAAATATATTTTAGGACCACCTAATATATATATATATATATTCATCCACAATATTGTAAATTTTTATTTGAGATTTATTATTATTATTATTATTATTCATTGAAATATATATATTTATGTGTTATGGCTTTTCTTTTCATGTAGTTTGCTTATTTGAAGTAAAATTTAAAGTATATATGGTAAATGAAGATATCCTAATTATTTCATATCTTACAATTCTCTTTTGCTTTGTGTGTGTGTATATATAATGAAATTATCGTAAGAATTTCTATTAAATCTAATTTTGAATAGCTCTGAAGAGAAAGAATTTTGGAATGAAATGAAACTAATTGTACGCTTTTTATAACTTTACAAATATCAAAGTTTGACTTGATGAACAAAGCACAACAAATACAAATAGTTTATTTTAGCATTATAAATAGATCTAAGGTTGAGGAAGTTTACTCTTGGTTTGATTTTTTTTGTTGTTAAATTTTAAGATATATATTTAATATAAAATTAAAATATATTTTATTTATTGACATGGAAATAGTTAAATATACTTATCCTTTCTTTTATTTTATGTCTACGTTACTCTCTTCTCTCATATGCCATCTGGAAAATAGATACTTTGATTGAGGTTCATGGAACACAAAAATGAGGAAAGGAGCATGGAAATTAAATAAGCAGCAAAAATATTTAATAGACAGGATGTTTTGTCGTTTGGGAGAGTGTCCCGTTGGCCGTTTCTCTTCCCCGTTTAGAAAAAAATGTTCTAACGGTTTTTGGTTGGCACCATGGACTGCATATCTTTGATTATTTGCGGGCCCTCTTCTTATAATTCTGTGTCCTTGCCACGAGTGGCTGACGTTCTTTTCCGACTTTGCACATCAATCCTTTTCCCTTGTCCTTCCCTTTTCTGTTTTTACTTCTAAATAAATATATATATATAAATATATAGTCTAAACCATTGCATTTTCCTTGATACGTCAAGAATGAAAGAAAATCTAGAATAAAAGAAATTGATTAAATTCTTTCAACGAATTTTAAATTTGGGTAGGATGAAATATGAATAAAAATTTTATAATATAATTAAATTGATTTGAAGTGATGTTTCAACAACTATAAATTAAAATTTAGAGGCATGGCATTACAATATTTAAATTTTAAAAACATGTGAAATTTGTGACAAGTGAGGAGATTATTCTCATTAGAAAAGTCCAAAACTATATTAATAATAAGCGTTCCATGCAATGCACGTTAATACATTATCAAACTATTTTTAATCTTTGCGTACTTCTACAATGCTATTTAATGGTATAAAAACAAACCATTTATGTCTTCATCAAAGGTTTTGAGCAATTTAAAAATCTATTACTCGTAAAGTTAGCAAGATTTGATAAGGAGCTTTTGTAATTAACATGACATAAGCCCTTATCATATGCTATTCTTTATTTAAATTTGTTTATCATCTAAACGAATATAGTACATATATATATAATATGACAGAATATTAGCCAGCAAGCATTTGGTTAGGTGAAAATATGATTAGCAGAAAAATAAACCAAAATCAAAGGTGCAAAGTGCAAGCAACTATGCTTTTTCTCTTTGTTCAGAAGGTACAAGCAAATATCAAAAGACCATGGAAGTCAATAGGACAAAAGGGCCTCCATTGATTTCATGATTGAACATAGAAAATGTCGGCCATGTTCTTGATCATGGGTTTACTCCCATTATTACATTTGTAAGACATTCCGGTGTGAATTCCTCAAGCACCCTAAAAACAAAACGAGATTTAATTCATAATAAAATCTCAAATCTTGATGATAAAATAATTAAGAAGCGTATGTTGTAGCATGGACATAAACAAAGCACATGCTTTTCTCTGCAGCCTGATTGGAACCTTCCAAAAACCATCAACCAACTCCGCCAATTAGCTAATTCTAAAAATCCAAATGTATCCCACGATTCAATAAAAGAAAGGCCAACAACCGAAAATAAAAATGAATGATATATAGAAAGAAAAGGCAGCAGGAAAGCTCGTGGAGAAATTAAATGGTTCCATAACTTGATAGCTGCCTTTTTCCTTGTAAAACGGGAGAAGGGAGGGGTTGGGGGGGTGCTGAGCAAAGCATCACCTCAGCGCTGGCCTCTAGGCCTACTGGTTAGGTTTCCTTTCACTTTCCAATACGTTTTGTGTTTTATGTTACTACTTTTTCTCAATGATTTCATGTGTCTCTGTTTGTGTCGTGTGTCAAGCTCAGCATTAGTGTTGTAAGGCAGTGGTGTTGGAAGGTGCACGTTTACGTTGGGTGGAGGTTTTTTTAAAAAAAAAATAGAAAAAGGCATGGGAGGAAGAGGATCTTGCCATAATATTTGGCTGTTGGGAGGGATGAGAGCTACTGAAATTGCCGACACGGGGACAATTTGGCAATTTCTGGGGTTTTTCATAACAGCGATGCTGTATTGTACGGTACCTCAAAACTTAGACACCTTTCAACAACAGTAGGCCCTTTTGCATTAGGCCTTAACGCGGCTTTTTAAATTTTTGAGTGATGGACCAGCCCATACCCATTAATGAGAAAGTAACAATGCATGCATTTTTGCCTTTCTTTTCTCTTTCTTTTTTTTTTTTTGGTTTCTCGTGGCCAAAAATTTGCAATTACCGTTGTTTTTGGGAATTTTCGACTTTGCATAGTTTTTTTGAAAAATTTTAAGTTATTTTAGTTGTAAAAAAGTAATTCACAAACGAACAAATACTTTTTAATTACACTGTTTGTCTTGCATAGAATATTGATTCGTTTTTTTTTCTTTTTTTTTTCATCTTGATTTCACTTTTCATAATCTAACTATATTATTTTTGCACTTTTTTTAATTCTAATTATTTTCATATTTTCACGTATCAAGATGAATAAAGAAAAAACAATAATTTGAGCGGAACAAAGTTTTAATATTTAATATCTGCCTTGTCTGCATGAATATTGACCGACTTCAACATATTTGTGTCGCATACAACTTTCTTTTTCTTCATTTTGATTGTGTGGTGGTGATTTGAATCAATGTAGTGTAGTACTTGATGGAAGAAACAAAAAAGATAAAAGAGATTTTGTGTGCCAGCAAAGAACAATCTTCTCTATTAAATTATGATTGTAATAGAACGAGACGGGCAAGAGACAAATAAGGAGCTTAGATATCAGTGTTGTTTCCCAGACCGGCAATGGAAATTGCAAAGATCGAACATTTATGGATATCCTGTGCATTTGTTTGTGTTATGTCGCATTGGCTTAATGGCTAGAGATGGACTCGCGATTGGGACTTGAAAAGTCCATCCTGTCCCACCATAAGCCTTGTTAGTTGTGTCTTTAAATAGTGAATCGTGAAAAAGATTGGGCATAGCTGCCCTAGCTTTGCCCTGTAATTGGGATCTATTGACGAGCTCTAGTATTGAGCTTGCTTAAGTTAAGTAGAGAGGATTAGTCGTGGACTTGTGCTCTAGTTGATCCTTTTCCGTTTGCGCTTCACTTAAAACTTAAAAGGTTGAACAAGTTAACTTAGGCGTAGAGGTACTCATAGCTCAAGCGTGAACTCGAAATGACGCTTAAAAACTCAAGTTTGAATAGTAAGCTTGAGTGATTTTATTTTCGAAAGGGTAAAAAATATTTTTGCATTAGTATTTTTCTATAATTTAAATATATTTTGACTTAAAATTGAATATAAAATATAAAAATTTATTAATATCATAATATTCACGGGCTGAGCTTGAGCCAAGTCCGGGCTTTAGTATTATAGACTTTTTGAGGGATGTTGGATTAAAAAGAAATAGCAAAAGCCCAATAATGATAAGGGACGTGAGGTGCCTACTTAATTTTCTTGATTCCACCCAAACCTTGTACAGTCAATGGACTTTTGGGCTGAAATGAAATGACCTCTCAAGATCCAATAGCCCTCTCTTTTAGGCTTGAAGGGGCAAGGGCCTCGGTTTTATGATTGAAGTGAACATGTATAGCAAGCTTGTGACTTCACTTCCATAAAATACATGCAAAGGAAAGGTGCAACTAACTTTCCCAAACTATTGCGGTACACGAAATCAAAATCATAATGGAACTTGTTTCGTATGAATGGCGAGGCAGGAGGCAGCGTGGCTGCTTTCTCCAGCCAAAACAAAAATCCATCGTGGCTGGAGAGCGCAGCAGCTCGTATCATTGGAATGAACGAGGTAACCGTGGTATGTCTCTCTGCTTCTCCAACGTGGTGGCACCTGGGTCATTGTTAATCACTCCACATAACTTGGTTTAAGGTTGCTAAAACACCAGCCTTGCGCCGTTGACCTTTTCCTTTCTTGGGGCAACAACAAAACTCGGCTTTTACCTCCCCTGTTTATTGTTAACCTTTTCTGCATTTCTTCTCTTTTTTCAAAATTAAAATTTAAAACTTTACCCTCCAAAAAAAAATGAAGAATAAAATTAAAATTTGTTTTCTTATTTGGAGGTTTTGACTTTTATATTTTTTAAGGTAATACCAAAATCGAATGTCTTTATATGTATTTTTATATATTATATCAAATTTTTTAAATTTATTATAATGAGATACACGATTTATCTTTCTAATTTTGTTAATAAAATTTATAATATTATGAGATGAAGTTTACATTTTTGTAATAAAAATTTCAAATATTTCACTAAATTAAGTAAAATTAGTTTTTTTTTTTTAAGTCAAGAGAGAACTTATATCAATGAGTGTGGAATGAAAGGATTCTCCAAGTAAAAAACAAGAGCAACGCCCAGAAGCTGAAAAAGGTTGATATCCCTTGAACAAAATTAGTTAATTATTAACATTGTCGTGGACTTTAAACTTTAATTATTTAATTTGGAATTAATAGTTTTAACAAATGATGTGTTTTTATCGAGAATTTTAAAAAATTTCACTCCTGAAAAATACATGTAAACTATTGTATAAGTATTCATTCTGTAGCTGAGAAGTTGAGTCTTTGTGTTAGATACATGAAGCAACTGAATAATTAGTGACAAAATCTAATAAAAGCTGCTCCGTGATTTTATTTTTTTTTAATGTTCATCGAAAATGCATTAAAAATTTAAATGCAACTAGAATGGCATTTTGGTAGTTATCTGGAAAACCCAAGGGTAAGCGTAACAGCACGGCGAGCTACAGTCACCTATTCCTCTAGTCTCGCACTGCGCCTCCTTTTTAGCTGTTTCTTCCGAGAACAATTCCCAGCAAATATTTACTGATTAACCACACACCTACCACACTGATAACTCAGAAAAGAAGAAGAAGAAAGCAAAACTTATCGAACAAAATTCTTAGTTAAGTGGGGGGAGATGTGGCGCTGCGTTTCTCGTAGCCTGCGGGTTCCATACTCGAAGAGATCGGTCTCATATGACTCTCTTAGATCTCACATTTCCAAATTGCTCGACAACGAATCTGTACGGTTCTTTCTTTTTCCAATCTTTTTCGGATGTTTAAAATTTTTATTTTCTATTTTGAAAAGTAAGAGATGTTTTGCTTTTATCTTTTCGTCTTCTGTCTGTTCACGATTTCTAGATTTTCTTTTTCTGATTGGTTTTACCTCTTATGTCTTTTTTTTATTAATTTATATGATTTTTTTTACTGGTTGGATTGTTTGGCTGCTGAGAAAATGCAGTCAAGGAAAATAATCTAAGAAATTTATAGAGGTTTTTCTTAAATGATCTTAACTTAGCTCCGTTTAGTTGACTGTGGTAATTTACTGTGCAAACAAACATATCGAACTTGAGCATTAATATCTTTTTTCTTCTTGGATAGGTTACCGTGATTTTCCCCCATTTACTTAGCTAAAATTATGTAAAATGCATTATTTATACGATTGCTTGTTAAGTATTATGTGTTCTTCTGATTGGTAACGTTTCATATATATTATTATAGTAATTAGAAATGGAACAAATAGGATTCTGTGTTGAACATTTGCGATTACTGCAGGTACAATCCCCTTATACCATAGTGGATCATACATATGATGCAGTCGTGGTTGGTGCTGGTGGTGCGGGTCTGAGAGCAGCCATAGGTCTTTCAGAGCATGGATTCAATACTGCTTGCATTACCAAGCTTTTCCCAACTCGTTCGCATACTGTTGCGGCTCAGGTATACAGGAATTCATGATCATGAGTGATGTTCTTGCTATAATTCAGGGCACACATGCTCACTATGACTATGGATTGGTGGACTTCATATCTGTCTTGACATTTCTGTTCAGGGTGGTGTAAATGCCGCTTTGGGGAATATGACTGAAGATGACTGGCGATGGCACATGTATGACACAGTTAAAGGAAGTGATTGGTTAGGTACATGACTTGATTGAGCTTATGTCTTTTGTGATTTTGTAGGTACTTAATATATGAGAGGTACTTAAGCATATGCTTCTACTCGATATTTAGCTGTATAAGAATGGTCTATTTATTAATCAGCTTTCTATATTTAAGTAAAGGGATATGTTTACCTCAAGTGCACTATTGTCTTGCCTGAAGTAGTTTATTGTTATCGCCCTGCATTCGTCGAAGTGGCTACCACATATGTTGACCTTTTGTTTTTTCCTTCAAGGTCTGATCAAACTACTAATATCAGATGATCATGTGTAACAAAGCAAAATGATTCATGCTAAAGGCATAAGGGCCATGCTGTGCACATACATTTACACATCTGTATTGCAATATTAAACTACCTTTGCCACTTGCACCTCTATAGTGCAGTAGTTAACTACCTTTCTAACAATCTTTTTCCCTTTGTTTACTGTTTTAACTGAAGAGGGTGTATTATTGTAGGTGATCAGGATGCTATTCAATATATGTGCAGGGAGGCACCAAAAGCTGTGATTGAACTTGAGAATTATGGGTTGCCTTTTTCTCGAACAGAAGATGGGAAAATATATCAGCGTGCGTTTGGTGGTCAAAGCCTTGACTTTGGAAAAGGTATCAGTACACAAAGTTGATAATGGGCTCAGATGATTAGTGGGTAGAATTCTGATCTTGACTTTGCAATGTTTCAATCTTGACCAGGCGGACAGGCTTATCGTTGTGCATGTGCTGCTGATAGAACTGGGCATGCTCTATTGCACACTCTCTATGGCCAAGCTATGAAACATAATACTCAATTCTTTGTGGAATATTTCGCTTTGGATCTGTTGATGAATAGTGATGGTAGGCTATTTCAGGGAACTTAAGGTTTTCCCCATCAATTGTATTTCAGATTCCTTTTGTTTGTGTTGGTTGGCTTAGGCGTGGCATATTTATCATCCCTTGTTATGTTTAGCTGTCCATAATTTTGGGCGTTACTTGTTTTCTTATTTTGATGAACATGTCACCCCACTTTTTATACCTTTGGACCTTTGACAAAAGAAAGTTTTTTGTTTCATTCATTTTGCTGTGTAATGTTAATAAGTTTTGGTGATTATTGATGCCTTGTGTGCAGGGAGCTGCCAGGGAGTGATAGCTTTGAACATGGAGGACGGAACACTACATAGATTCTGTGCTGTTTCGACAATTCTAGCTACTGGGGTATTGTATTTATTCTTTTTTTTTTTTAATTCAAAATGAATAAAGGACCTTCACCTTTGTTGTCTGTTTCTTTCAGGGATATGGTAGAGCCTACTTTTCTGCAACCTCAGCTCACACATGCACTGGTGATGGCAATGCTATGGTTGCGCGTGCTGGGCTTCCCCTCCAGGTTTCTTGTGTTCTTTCTATCCTTTAAATTTGTTTCCGGAGCTGCTTTCATTCTTCTATCTCTTTCTCTGTTTGTCCCCCTCCTGATGTATCCTTCTTACAGGATTTGGAGTTTGTGCAATTTCACCCAACGGGAATCTATGGGGCTGGGTGCCTCATCACTGAAGGTTTGTGCTTATTCAACTTCTTATGAAGAGCATTGTCTTGGGTTGATATTTGGTTGCATGATATAGAAAATTATTATACCTTTGTGTTTTTCTATTTTTGAGTTTAATTTTAAATCGCACCCTCTTCTTTAGTTGAAGTTGAGAAGGTTCAAATTCTAATTTTCATCTGCAATTTGTAGGGTCTCGTGGTGAAGGTGGTATTCTTAGAAATAGTGAAGGTGAACGCTTTATGGAACGGTATGCCCCTACGGCCAAGGATCTTGCTTCAAGGGATGTTGTTTCAAGATCTATGACCATGGAAATCAGGGAAGGTCGTGGTGTAGGTATGATTATCTCCTCATTGTTGACATTTCCATTGTACGACATGCAGTGTCATCTGTGTTTTTCTTGCTTAAGGAGTGTATATGGGTTTGCAAGATGTGCAGTTAGGTATTGCAATATGTCGCTTGTGGTTTAGAGTAGATACTTGGTTTCTTTTTACGTGATCCTTAGTCTCAGTTCTTTGAAGTTTTTGATATCCAGGTTTTTTTCTTTTGAAAAGACTAATATTTGTAGGTGCCAATGCCATACCAAAGATATGTTTATCTCTGGTGTTGTGTGATGCAGACAATTAACAGTTACATGCAAAATAATGTGAATCTTCTCTGGACTTGGAGTCTTTAACCATGATATTTATATTTAATAGGACCTTTGAAGGATCATATCTATCTCCACTTGAATCACTTACCCCCAGAGGTGCTCAAGGAGAGGCTTCCAGGTATCTCTGAGACAGCTGCCATTTTTGCTGGTGTGGATGTTACGAAGGAGCCCATCCCTGTCTTGCCTACTGTACATTATAATATGGGTGGAATTCCCACAAATCACCATGGAGAGGTGTGATATTCAGATGCATAAATGCATTTACATGTGGATGTTCAGAACAAATATTTCTGATATTAAAGAATGTATAATTGTGGAGATTTACTGGAATTTAATTGTTTTATTCATTTTAGAGATACATAGAACAAATATATGTTGGTACCTATCTGTATGATTATATAACTGATATGCATATTTTAAAACTGAAAGATGTGCAACATTATCTGAGAACAAAAACCATTTTGCAATAATCACTTTCTTCATATAATTACGTCTGATATTCAACTATTTGTGGTTTTAACTTCACCATGCATTTAAATTTTGTTAATTTAACGCTCACCTTATTTAATCAGTGTGCTTTTTGCTTTCTCAGGTTGTTACTGTCAGAGACAGCAATCCAGATTCTGTGGTTCCTGGACTAATGGCTGCTGGAGAGGCAGCCTGTGCATCTGTTCATGGTGCCAATCGGTTGGGTGCAAACTCCCTTCTTGATATTGTTGTCTTTGGTCGGGCTTGTGCAAATAGAGTCGCAGAGATCCATAGACCAGGCATGTTGTATTTTATTTTTTGCAGGTGAGTAACTATGCCATTTATGGCTCAATGTTATTTCTTATACAAGTTATTTTTCAGGGGAGAAGCAGAAACCTTTGGAAAAGGATGCCGGTGAGAAAACAATTGCATGGCTGGACAAAATAAGAAACTCAAATGGTTCTCTTCCAACTTCAAAAATTCGATTGAATATGCAACGAGTAATGCAAAACAATGCCGCTGTTTTCCGCACACAGGAAACATTAGAAGAAGGTGTGATGTTTCTTCATCATTAATGTTTTAGTTTTGTCCCTTTCAATTTTGCATCCTGTGTCTTCCTCTCCCCATTCAGCCTTCCTTTTGTTCCTCTTTTTTCTGGGAAATAGAATGATTAGTAATCTTTATGTTGTTCATGAGATTCTAATTGCTGAATCTAATAAATTTGTTTAACATTTAGTTATTACCTAGGAAAACCTATTTACTTCTTTGTATATTTCATAGGTTGTCAGTTAATTGATGAGGCATGGGAAAGTTTCGATGATGTTAAGTTGAAGGATCGAAGTCTAATATGGTAAGATTGCAGAACCAGGATGTTGATGATCAAATCATTGTTGAAGTTGATTGTTTTGTAGCTTCACTCTTAAACTGTTTTGCAGGAACTCTGATTTGATAGAGACCATCGAGCTGGAAAATCTTTTGATAAATGCCTCTATCACTATGCATTCTGCTGAAGCTAGGAAAGAGAGCAGAGGTGCACATGCCCGTGAAGATTTTACAGTTAGTGTTTTTCTTCTCTTTGTCAGTTTTATTATGTCCTTTTTGTCAAGCTACAGTTAATAATGTGCATTTGCTTTTATTTGGCAGAAAAGAGATGATGAGAACTGGATGAAACACACATTGGGGTATGATCTCTTTCCCTACTTGGAAGAACACATTGTGATTATGTATATGGGCTTATGTCGTGGTGGGGGGAGTTTAAAACTGATAGAGACAGGTGTATTTGTATCAAGGACATGTTTCTGTTAAAAAGGAACCAAGCTTAGTCCAGATGTATAATTTTATAATGTTTGGGCTTTAGGCTATCGAATTTTATATACAATAGGACCCTTAAGAGGCACTTATGAGAAAACTATATCACGGGTGAGCCATTTAAGTGTAGAATGTTTCTTGCAGGAAAGAGCAGAAAGTTTAGGGGTTCTCCTTGGTATTTCTGTTCATTGTCTGATTGGTAACATGAGTTAATGCCCTGAATCTGATAAAATCACACTAGTGATTTGCTAGGGATAATCATCTATTGAGTATCATCAGTAATTTACTAGATTTTGGATGCAAATCGCTAAATTGCCACATTATTTTGGTTTAATCTAGTTGGCAACGTCAAGTTGTTGATTTGTTCACAAATTCTACTTTGATTTGCAGCTATTGGGAGAATGAGAAGGTTCGACTGGATTACCGGCCAGTTCACATGAACACATTAGATGATGAGATTGAGTCATTCCCACCTAAAGCCCGTGTGTATTAGTTTGAGAAGGCATATCATGTGCTTTATGCAAATGATTTATGAGGTGTGCAACAACTCAGCCCGGAATAAGTTATGGAGAAAAAGGATGCAATAAAGTATTTGTACGTACAGCGCTTTTGGCAATATTTGTGCCATTCATCAATCATTGAACTTTTGTGATTGAAAGCATCAACAAGTTTAAATCTTAGTCCGAATTTTGTATTTCCCTTGGTCAGCAATAAGGTTATCCGTCGCTTGATTTGAGAAGCCTTTGTACGAGTGACACCTTGTCCTTCAAACATTAACACTAACATGTGAAGTTGAAAATCAGCTGTTTCTGGTGCTCAAAACCCATTGTGCTTGTGTCGTCAGGCTCTCAAATTACCACATAATTAAATTAGAATAACTCAATCTGAGTAACTTAATTAATTCACTGTTTGCCTTGATTAGGATTAATTTTCCTCTAAATTCTCGACTTAATTATGTGTTTGCGGGGATGATGTGTTCCTCCCTGTGAAAAAGTTTCTCCAAGTGGGAAGGTAAGAGATGCAGAGTGACTTTTTCTTCTCTTGTCTCGGAGAGTGTAGATTGGATGGATTTCTTTTGGGAACGGTAAGAACGACAAAGAATTTGTTTAACCGTAAGGAAAAGAGGAATGGACCCATGTCCAAGATTAACTCCTGATAATTGTGTTGTAAGACTTGAACCACTACCTAGCTTACCTTCCCCCAACCCCTTCTTTTAGCCTGGCTTCATGTTACCCCCACCCCGAATCATGGCATCAAATTAAGCTTCAAAGTTCATAGAAATTTGGGTTTTTTGGTTAATGGGTTCTGTGAGACGTATCATAGGCCGTACGAGCCTTCCAAGATCCACAATTTGAACAGAGCAACATGGATTTACAGCCCTGTTCGGCATGTGGCTCGATTCATGATCTTTTTTTTCGTTTGAGCCGAAACAGCCCAGAAGGAAATAAGCTTCTCCTTTTATTGCCACGACTTCAGTTCCCTGTATTTCATTTTCATTTGATCATTGATTTAAAGATCATACATCGACAGGACATAACCTGCTTAGCTGCACCTACTCTTTCCCCCAATAAAATTATTCAAATAAGTGTGGGGCAGCCAATCCATACTAAAAGTCTTTCAAACCAGTGGCTAAGTTGTTCATTATGTTATTTTTCTTGCGCAAGCATCACTGTCAGGGGGAGACAAGCCAAGATCATCATCCAATCCCAAAGGGGCTGTTCTCAAAACATTAGTTTAAAAATACTAATCATTACAACAATTGACAAAAAAGAGCAGATTTTTGTTTAGACAATATATATAAAAATCGAAGGATAAATACACTTTCAAGAGAAAAAGGGGAAAAAAAAAAAAAACCCAATGAGTATCCTATCCCATTTTGTCAAAAGTACAGTGTCTCCCACTACAAAGAAGCATTAAAAACGTCTTTCCAAGTTGTTTTCACCAGTCACAGGCCACTGCTTGGTAGTAGTAGCCTATCGGTGCTGGTGAAAAACACTTGCACCAAAAAAAGCAGTCCTTGGTTGATTAAGAACCCACTCCATTGCTAGTTTGACTGAAAGATCCTACTTCGTCATGATTTACTAAGAAACGTTCGGGGCTTCGCTTTTTATCAACCTGCTTTTTTCTATTTTATAATCATTTGTTTTTAATTTAGTGTGATTACTAAGGGGTTAAGGCTACAATGCCTCCCTAGGGATATGTTCCAGAAAAATACACAGAGAAACAGATTAAAATAATAAGCTAGATCGGATCCAGTCAGATACAAGCATCCTAGCATGGATATAAGTTCAACCTGGATACATTAAAATTTTGTAGATTTTCCTTTTTGTTTTTACTTGTTTTGAGGGTTTAGAAATAGTGTGTGTGGGTGAAAATCTGAAACAGCTTTAACCAAAAGAAAAAGAACAAAATTCCATGATTTCATATTTTCAACTTGCAAATTTCGAATCTAAGTCGTAACAAGAAGAGAAAAAAAATCGAAGAAATGATAAAAATATTACATCCCCTTTACGAACTTAAAATTTAATAAACAAACATTTATATTTTCTCTCTGAATTGCACGAACTTGGATTGAAGAATTCGACAGCGGGTACGTTATATGTTTTTCGAAATTTTTTTATATTAATGTTGAGAATTCAAAACTATACAGTAAGAAATTTTAGAAATGATAAAAGCATTATATCCCATTACATACTTAAAATTTAATAAAAAAAATTTTATTTTTCCTAATTTGGCATGAATTTGAAATAAAGTGCCGGGCATAGATATATCATTTTTTATTATTAATTTATATGAATTTTGAATATTTAAAATTATAAAAATAATAACAATTTTTAAAAGAAATCAAAATTTAATATATTAAGATAAAATAAAAATTTTTGAAAAAAGTAATTTTTTCTTTTGAATGATAAATAAATAATAAGAATTATATTTTCTAAACTCCAAACCTTAAACCTTAAACTTTTACTGAAATAATTACACCACTGCTTTCTAATTAAAAAGTGAAATGATAAAAGAGAATTCCTATTAATCAAATTTTGATTATACCATAGAGTTGCATTATTATTAAATCATGTCCTCATTACTAATTTCTCACTCAAACTTACACTAATCTATAGTCTTTTTCCACACATTGTTCCTCTTGTTATTCCAAATCCATGATTGTTCTATCTTGCATCTTGTTATTTAGTATTTGTTAATAATTATCGCCCCCTCCCCCCCGCCCCCCCCAACAAAAAAAAATACTTATTAGTACTTAATTACTTTAAATTACTCTAAAAACCTAATCAAAATTTGTTTGGATATGCACGTGAAAAGCAAAGGTTTGCAACATCATGGAGTGACAATTGTCAAGTCCAAGTGTTTTCCTAAAAATTAATGGTAATGACTGTGACATTTTTTTTTTTTTAAAGACGATGTGGTCCAATTTAGAAAAAAGTCAGTCGCCATTGCTAATGGGACAAAATAAATAAGATTGAAGAGATCGTGCTCACATAATTAAATTATTATTATAAATTATGAATAAATAAAATTAAATGTCATAAATGGAAGAATGTGGTCAAGCCCATCATGCTCCATCAATTTATAATGAGAATGAGAGCGGGAAAATTCATAAAAAAAATGACAAAAACACTGTCAACGAACAATAATTTTTATACATAATATATATATATAACTTTGAATTGTTTTTGTTCGTTTTTATATTTTAACCTCGACGATTTATTATTGTTATTATTATTTAGTTAGATTGTTTGTGATGAAATTGATTAAATGTGAACGGTTTCTGGTTTAAGATAAGCTGCGCCTAACAATCTCACAAAAAGTGATATACAAATTTCATGTGTGCTAATTTGTTTGGTCTATTTTTTATTAAATGTTATTACATTTAATAAATAGTACTAAAGAAGAACCGTATGTTAATTAACTTCTCTAATATAAAAGGTCCCATTAAAAAGAACGAAAATAAAAGATAATAAGGGGAAAATAGATTAGATATTTGGAGCTTAGAATTTATGCTTTCGAAATGAAAATAAAAATTTTTAAATATTGCTCCATTACAAGAAAATTTCCTATTCTAATATCTCAATCAAATAATAATTTTCTTTTTTTCTTTTAATGAATTTGTCTATTAATATTAATATTTTACCTTCAAATTAAATTAATTATGATTGCAATTATGCTCAAAATACCTTACCAAAAAATTATATATAAAAAGTGATACTCTTTTATTTTTAAAAAGAATAAATGTTCGTGTGAATGACTTGTTTCAAAATCTTCGATTTGAGTTTTTTTATATTAAAGTCGGGGTGTTTCCTTCACAGAAAAAGAAAAAAGCCAACCAAATTATTATAATTTGGTCTGAAAACCTAGTTGCATTTCAATCCTATGTCAAATTGGATTTATCCTATAAGAACTTAAGAACAGTCACGAAATCCCAATGGACCGACGAGACAATATCACAATGATTTGAACCCAAAATATAATAGTAATTAACAGTGATGATCAAATCTTTCAAATCAAATAGAAATTGGATCATTTAGAACCAGAAGCTTGAAAGAAAGCTTTAGGATTTCAGCAGTTAAAACGGAAACTAAAAGTGGCCTATTTGCTCATCATGGTCAAAATCGTTGCTGGGGATGGAATTGAAGTTAAAAAGATTGAGCTATGGCAGCCTCAGATGGGAAGAGAGGGAGAGTAGTAGTCTCGGAATTGAGATGGGAACATGATTGGAAAGCTGAAAAATTTTGAGAACCGTTGTGATGGTAAAGAGAGCGTGGAAAGGGAAAAAGAAAGAACGTTAGATAAGGCGGTAATTAGAGTGGGCCACTTTGGAACCGACTGCTGTGAATTACTTGTCAAATCATCCAACTAATGGCGGCTGATTAAGACATAATTTTATCTAATTTGCTTTTTTTTGGTTTCATATTTAGTAATTATCCAATGCAAGATATAAATAGGTTGGCCAAAACAGAAGATCAATAGCGTGTAATTGAAGTAAATCTAAAATCTAAGCCTTTCGTCTCATTCCCCAGTTTAACCATTAATGCCTTGTATGAATATTTTAACTCAATTTCTCATTTCGTTTCGTTAAATTATAAGTGACCTCCTCCAACAGTCAGTCGAAAAAAAAACATAATTGATCGGATTAAAGTAAGATAATTTAACAAATTAATTCGTGTTGTAATATTAAAATATTTAATAAAATTAAATTCGAATCCAAGGGTTTAGGGGAGAGGGAAAAAAGAAGGTAGCAATTAGAAAGCACTAAATGTAGACGTTGGGCAGTTGACTCAGGGGCTTTGTTGTGGAGGCACATCTTTCCCAGCCATGCCAACGGCAACGTGTCTAGTTGCTTTCAACCTCGACCCATCAACGAAACAACGTTGCCCAACCCCGTCAAAATATCCTGCACCGTTGCTTTTCTTTCCGGTTCTTTTTTTTTTTCTTCTTAGTTGTTGCGTTTCGGTTGGTCGAGGATTACCTATTGCATTCCCCGCCCCCACCCCTTTCTGGACCCCACTTCACCACTTTTGTTTTTTGTTCTTCTTCATGATCTTCGCATCTTGGTCCACCTCGTCCCTGGTGCGTCCCTCAACCGCCCAAAAAGAACGGACCGTAATGGGCAAAGTGCTTTTGACCCCGCCCCCATCGACGCCAAAATTTTTTGCCCTCTGACACAAAAGTGAAAAATAAAAATTACAAAAACAAAAAAGAAAAGAAAAGAAAAGAGAACCTAACGTTTGACGAAGTGCGATCAGCTGTGTCGTGATCTTGAGAATATTACGGCGCCGTTTTGCACTCTCGCAGGGAAGGGGTAAAGCAGACCGGACCGGATGCCCAGATCTTTAGAAAGAAGAACAAAAAAAACGGACGTTAGATTAGCGCGACCTTCTCTAGACGATCACAGGGGGTGGATGGAGGGGGTATGATGACGTCAATGAGACGGCGACACCGACGCGCCGTATAAAAAATATCGATGTGTCGTGACGAAGGGGTGGGCCCCGGTGCCCCAATTTCGAAGGGGTCCCCGAACACAGCGGGAGAGATTGAAATGAAAGGGGATGTGGGTACACGTGGATGCTAATAACACCCCTCCCGGTGTTGTCATTTCGGTAGATAGAAAATTAACGAGTGGGTCCCACACGTCGTATGGGCGCCACGTCATGCGCACAGCAACTGGGACTCAGAGAGAAAGAAAAAACACGGAACAACAAGAGAGATAGAGCGGCTGGAAATTTGTAGATTTGTAGTGGTAGCATAGTTGCCGCTCACAGCAGGGTATACGGGATTCCCATCCTCTCATGTCTTTCGATATTTCCACGTCATCTTTCTCTTTTTTGTTCAATTTCATTTTATTTTCTTTAACAAAGGCGGGACCCACCGTTTTTTGGTAATAGCTATAAGGACCCACTTTTCATTTGGAGGGACTTTATTCAGCTCTCGTCTCGTCCTGCTTCTACTACTAGCTTTCGTTCTTTAAAGCTACACTTCTCAAGTATCTCTCTTTCTCTTCTTAGCTTAAGCTAAATCCAAGTTTGTAGAGCTTCTGATCCAGTTACTCTCGGGCCTACAGTCTTGTATGTACCCTCTTTCTCTTCTCTCTCCTCCTCTTTTTATGCTTAAAAACGCTCACTCTTTTGTGGATTTTTTGATGTTTTTTTTGTGGGTAATGTGAGTACAGTTTACGAAAATTTCCGGCGAAGTTTGGCCGGAGGATGGCATATATGTGCGCGGATAGTGGAAATCTAATGGCAATCGCTCAACAAGTTATAAAGCAAAAGCAACAGCAAGAGCAACAACAACAGCAACACCACCATCAGCAGCAACAGCTCCTTGGTCTCAATCCCTTTTCTATAAACCCTTGGCCCAATACGCACCATGCCGTTTCCAACGCCCCCAATCTCGGGTACGGGCTTTCCGGACCTGGTTTTGCCGACCCGTTTCAGGGAGATACTGGAGAAGGGTTTCAGTTTCCAAACATCGAGCATCAACCAGTGGGTTTCGGTTCCGGATTTTTGTGGTGGTGCGGGTGGTGAGTTTGACTCGGACGAGTGGATGGATAGCCTAATGAACAGTGGGTATCAACGGATAGTTGAATCTGCCGTCTGGTTGTGAGGCGTGGCAGAACAAGGCGATTTTGGTCTCTACGGTGCCGATCCCTTTAGTGCTTGCCGAACCGTCTCAGCGTGACGTGCTCTCCGCCGTCTGATCTGAACCGAGTGATTTTCTCAACAGAAGTACAGAAAAACCCTAACACTCTTCAAGCACAGCCTCAGTTACCTACGTGGGCCCCATCCCCTCCACCTCCTCCTCCTCAAGTGACCGTTAAAGAAACCAAAACAAGTACTCCTCCGAGCCAAACGCCATCCATAAACGACGTCGTAGGCGTCTCATCTACCTCTCCCGAGGCCGAGTCAGCTCCCCGCTTTTAAAAGCGTTACTCGACTGTGCCAGACTAGCCGAGTCGGAGCCTGAAGCGCGATTAAATCACTGATTCGACTCAGGGAATCAGTATCAGAATGCGGAGTCCAACTGAAAGAGTGGCTTTTTACTTCACCGAAGCTCTCCATAGCAGAGTCTCGCGTCAAGCTGAGAAAAGATTGACTATTCTCGATACGACGTCGGAGGAGTTCACTCTCTCTTACAAAGCTTTAAACGACGCGTGTCCGTACTCAAAGTTTGCTCATTTAACGGCAAATCAAGCGATTCTCGAAGCAACGGAGAGAGCCAGTAAGATTCACATAGTGGACTTTGGAATTGTTCAAGGGGTTCAATGGGCTGCTCTTTTGCAAGCGTTAGCTACCCGCTCTGCTGGAAAACCGACCCAAATCCGAATCTCGGGTATACCCGCTCCGGTTTTGGGAAAATCTCCAGCATCTTCTCTTTATGCTACTGGTAATCGTCTCCGTGACTTCGCGAAGCTCCTGGATTTGAATTTTGAGTTCGAACCGATTCTAACTCCAATTGAGGAGCTTAACGAGTTGAGTTTCCGGGTTGACCAGGATGAGATATTGGCTGTAAATTTCATGCTTCAATTGTACAACTTGTTAGATGAAGCTCCGGTCACTGTAGAAACCGCTCTCCTGTTGGCTAAATCTTTGAACCCGAAAATTGTGACATTGGGTGAGTACGAAGCGAGTTTGAATCGAGTTGGGTTCGAGAACCGGTTTAAGAATGCATTAAGGTATTACTCAGCCGTGTTCGAATCGTTGGAACCGAACTTGCCTCGCGACTCACCAGAGAGAATCCAAGTTGAGAGACTATTACTTGGTCGAAGAATCGCGGGGGTTATTGGACCTGAAGAAGTGGAAAAACGGAGGGAACGGATGGAAGATAAAGAACAATGGAAGAATTTAATAGAAAGTGCAGGTTTTGAAACGGTAGCCCTTAGCCATTACGCGAAAAGTCAAGCGAGAATTCTGTTGTGGAATTACAATTACAGCTCTTCGTATTCACTGATTGAATCCCAACCTGGATTTCTCTCTTTAGCTTGGAAGGAGGTGCCTCTACTCACGGTTTCATCGTGGCGTTGATGATTTGTGGGATCTTCGGCTTCACAGTTGTAAAATTTTCCACCTGGTAATTTTTCTCTAGTGTGGAATGGAACAGATTTTGATCTGGGAAGACTCTGGGGCCTCAGCACAGTGAAACAGTGGTAATATTTTAAGGGCCAATTGAGAAGCTTTTTAGGGTTATTTCCATGGTTATATTAATTTTTTTCATTTTGATTTTGATCTTAGATTTTTCTTTTGGTTATTTTAGTTCTGGGTTCTGTTTTTGTTGGGGTTTTTTTTCTTTTATGAACAGGTTTGGAACTTTCAGCATGACAAAAATTGTAACATAAGGGAAAATGAAATTCGAGAAGAACTTTTCCCGTAGGGTGTCTAGCAACTTTGCACTGTATATAAATTTGAAACCTTTTGATATGGTTTATTTCTTTTTCCTTTCCTCGTTTCATCTTTATTGTCAATGTAGACTTTAGTTCAGTGCCATTGCAATAGAAGGTGAAAACTGATTTAATGACTAGGAAACTATAGTTTCTCGTGCTCTTGGTCTTTGAACAAGCCTTGTTCTGGTCACTGGTTGCGCCTTGAATCAAAGACCCTGTGACTCTGTCTATATTTACTAATGTGATCAGATTTTTCACCTGGCCTTGCACTCTGCAGGGTGTAGTAAAAACCATGAGCAAAACCAGTAAAAATGTCACTTTCTTTCACAGGCACTGTAATTGGGTGTTTTGATTGAGACCGAGTCTTGGGTTGAACTGTGATTTCTGTATTTGGTGTTTGATGAGGACCAACACAGTACTTATGAACAGGGTTTTCTGATTAAGACTTTTATATAGAACTTCTGCCTTTGCGTAAATTATATGGCAGGTGATCTTTTTATCTTTTCTCTCGATCAACTTTCAATCTTTGGGCTGCTGCTATCTTACAATACCTATCATTTTCCTTTGTTATTCTGCTGGGAAAGGACTTTGAATTTCGCATGCGGTGGTTGTTGCCATCCCTGCCATTCTTATTTTTCTCAATCTATGGCAGGCCCTTCTACTTGTTGGTTATAAGATTTAATGGCTGTCATTGTCATCTTGAATCAGACTCTAAATCTCCCTCTCTCTCTCTCTCTCTCTCTCTCTCTGGGAGGGATTAAACATGAGATCTTATCCCCTGATTGCGGGTTTCTCATTTGATTATAGAGTTCTGTTAAAATTTTGATTGTCTAATTTCCACCCAATGCTGGAAAATGAAGGGAGGGACACAAGTGAGTAGCTTGAACATGATATCCCATCCTTTGACATAATTGAGATGGAACCAGGGCGATGAAAGCTGCCTGTTTCCAACTCCCTGATAACCAATGGGCCAAGAACAGGGCAAGGTAGGTGATGGGGCTTTTGCATGATGTTGTTTCTAGTCCACTGATGGAGACCGGCATGGGGTCACTTCTAGCCATAAGATTGTTGAGAGTCGAGATGTTGAACCCCCCATATAACTAGAGTACCCTTTTAGGGTTCTGGTATGGGTCCTCTTTCAACTCTCTTTGTCAATGCTCTTCCATCACACAGCTCATCTGATATGTTCCCTGTAAGAACGTGTTTCACCCTAAATTTGCAAAGAAAATTGACTCTAAATCTTCTGCGTAAATACCATATATATTCAATATTTGGCCTGCATTTTTGTATCCTGGTGGATGGATGCCTTACACCATTGACAAACCTGATACCGTTAACTAGATCAATGTCAAGTTCTGGTTTCATCTTACACGTGAACCATTTGCAACTATGCAGAGGAGAGGTTTCTCCCTTCATTCTCTTTTCTGTAAGGGTCCAACTTTGTAGTCGGATGGTTCTAGTCTTTCGTTAGCTTGGTACTTAGACTGAATTTGATTCCAGCCAAAAACTCTAAATATTGAACAATGGACCATGAAAAATCAAAGTTATTGATCTTCCGACACTGCGATTGTTGCTTCCAATTTACTTTGGGGGCATTGAAATTTTCTGAAGGCCTAACACCCTTCTCTTCACCGTTTCTTTTTTTTTTTCTTTTTATTTTCTTCAATGAATTAGGACGAGAACCCCACCTACATAAACAAAAGAGACAGTCCATCAGAGAAATGGCATTAAATCCACTGAAGGAGGCCCGAAAAGACTGAATAATGCTGCCAAATCAAGGGCCGAAGGCACCCAAAGCGCTCTGACATCGTGCACGTACCCGTGTACTATTTGGGTGACCGTATCACCGTCCCCCTACTCTCCTTAGCTCTTACTGTTGGTATTGAAGGTGCGTGATGAGATCAGCAAGCTGCCACTAGCAGCAACGGTCGAGTGGTCCCACAATCTGGAGACATGAGACTTTCTGCTGTATTCGTTAAAGTGACCTGTCCTCTCCTCTCTCTCTCTCTCTCTTTCTCTATCCTGCTCTGGACTTAGACTGGACTAATCCTGACACTGTCACCTTTTTTTTTACCTCGGCAGCGTACCTCTCGCCTCCGTTTTATTGTCTTCTAAATAGCGGCTTTGATCTTGCTGGTTTGGTACAGAGCCCAAGTAGCACAAGAATAAGGATTTGAATTTGCCCCAATTTATTTATTTATCTATTTATTTATTTTTTGAGTTGAAGAATCCGAGAATAGAATTTTAATTATCTAGAATTCGAGCCAAATTTGCTAGCCTCCATCTCCATATACTCAATTAGGGAGTAGTTATTGTGGAGCATTTGATTTTAGGATGTGGACATGACAATAAAGCTTGGAGTGCAAATAGCAATTTACAGTGGATATTGAAGGTTGTATGGCATTTCTTCTCCGTTATACTCTCTTCTTTTATCATGTTTGCAATTTTAATTAATTTTACAAGTTTATACTAGATATATTGTTGATATATAATATTTATATATAATTATTTAATTACCAAATGTTATGTAAAATTAAAAATTCAAAAATATTTCTAATTAAATATTTTTAAAAATTTTAATATTTAAATTTAATTATTAACAAAATAATAATATTTCATTTTATACTTTATCTGTGCATCAAATATGAATTTTAATTTTACTTATTTTACATACAAATGTTTATTTATTAATAAAATATCAATATTTAATTAATTGATAATGTATAAATTAATGACCGTGCATTATTATCAAACCTTATTTTTACTTACTCATTTGTAAGTCCTAAAAAATATATATTATAAAGATGGACCTCACCTCGCCAAACTATATGGACTTGTTTATGGGCCAGGATGAGGTTAGAATCTGGGGTGATGAACCGTCTAAGCAACATGGGCCTTGGCCATCCGAACAGTGGAATTGATCGCCTCGGACATTGTCCCTCGAACGTTGAGTCTGTCTCGATATCTTAAAAGGCCAGGCGACTGCGGCCAGCTGTGGTTGTTCCTAAGCATGCGACCATTGGAATAGCCAGGCTCGTTATCCACAAACCAAGCTTAGCCTGCGGCAGTGCCATCTGGGGGAGACTCACCGGCATAAAAAGCTGAAAGCCCCACGTAACCAGAAGCTATATACGAACTCGACACGATAAACATTTCCACGTGTCGTACCGTGACAGAAGGTTGCTGGTATTTTCTTTGTAGAAAGGTCTGGATCAGCACCTTAGAACCGGCCTTAATTTCTGTCATTATGCCCTTAATGGCATGCATTTATTGGCTAAAATCACTTCCTTTTGATGTGTATATATTAGTCTCTTTACAACTGGAAAGAAAACGAAAATGAATCAGGCAATTCGATCAGTTGGAGCCCAGGCACCAGCAATTTTCTCGTCTTCCCTGCAATCTTCTTTAGGCCACAAAAGCTTAGTGATCAGCTTCAGGCCTGTTACAAGTTCTTCTAAGCGTTCAGGAAATCCACAAAGCATGGACCGGACAGAATAAAATCCTAACCAAAAAACTAGGTTCATAACATGAACACTATTGAAAATTGCCCTGCCACACTTCTCCCTTGTCTGTTGTCTGAATTGTTCATGTTGAATTCTGTTTGTTAAGAGATGTGATGTCTCATTCATTTGGAGAGGGGTATGCCACGAGGTCGGACGAAGAACCATTTGGAGGGACTTACGGAGGGAATCAGAGTAACTCTAAAATAGAAATGGACAGGGAGATTCTTGAAAATCATCCAAGCAAGTTGAAGGCTGTCTGTAAGTACATTCATTCATCATCAAAGTTGTTTTTCTTCTTGAAAATTCTACTTACTTTTATTGCACTGCGTTTGCTTTGTGCATGAAGCTTATGACAAGACACAGGGGAGTGAAGTGAAAGAGAAGGAGAAAGCCAGGCACCGAACCCAGGCATCGAGTTAACTGGGAAGATCAGAGATTTGATGTTTATGAGATATATTTTGCTCAGGAAATTTTCTCTTTTGGACTAATCTATCTATGCTATGAAAGCTGCTGAAGCTTTTGCTTTTTTATTTCAGTATATTTGTTAATGTGAATTGCTGGTCCTTGGGACACCCTGGCTCGCATATTATAAGCCTTGATGTGGCATATAGGTTTTAATTATTTTATGGGATAAATTTTGAACTATTTGGGTACTGATAATTTCTTATATCAGTTGAGAAGCAAACTCCCTATTTCCATTCCAAAAATAAATAAATAAATAAACATAAAAAACTGATGACAGGCTTTTTAAAATGTCCATGGGCCAAGGTCAGTAGTGGTTTAGAATGGTTTAACGTTGATCCGATCGTTTTTATAGTTTTAATTTTTTTTGCTTAAAGTTTTAATTTTTCAAATATATTTTGTGAATTTTTTTCCTGTCAATTGACACTCACTCAATACCTTTTATGAAAAAGAAATTATTAAAATACTTCAATTCAAAATTAATTTATTTATTTTAAAGATATTTTTAAATTTATTATGAAATTTAAAATGATATATTTTGTTCTTCTTCTTGTCTTCCTTATTTCATCCTTTGAACTATACTATAAACTCGAAATACGTTACAACCATTTATTTTGTGTTGATGCCAGATTATCAACTACAAGATTCTACATTATCAAATATAATTGTGGACGTTTACAATACAAAGATGGGTCTTGTCTCTTTTCCTAAGTTACATTTGAGGAACTGTTTTCATACGAGAACCTAAGTTCTAAAAATTAGCTACTGTTTACTATATTTGGGTAGCTAAAATAAAATAAAGGTTAAACTTAAATGAAATATTAGTTTTCTTCCTTTGAAAATTAATTAATTTTAAATTTTAAAATTAAAATAATTTACTGTGAGAATAATTATTTGAAAAAATTAATTTTGTTAACTAAATAAGTCAATAATAAGATAGACACAATTAAAAATTAGAGGTGAATTTTCAATTTGACGTCTATTTAATTTTAAAATTTTTAAAAATTAAATTAATTAAATTTTAATAAAAATTGATCAATATCGATTTAACTTTATATTAAAACAAAAATTAATCCGTTTCATACAATTGATTTGATTAGTTTTAATGAATATTATGTATAAAATGTGTATTTAAAATACTTTTAGTTAAATTGTTAATTATGTTTATACATAAAATCTAAATGTATTTAGTTTAAATATATGTATTTGAAATTACTAATAATATATCGTATTTAAAACAATTTATTGACAATTAATTTTTTATTACGATTGAATTGTGTATATTTGATAATTATATAAAATATTTAGTTAGAGTTATTATATAATATTGTTACTCAAACTCTAATTAAATATTATAATTGAATTAGATGATAGTATTATATAATAATTCTAATTAAATAAGTTATATAATTATCTTAATAATTTTGATAAAAAATTGATTCAAATAAATCATTTTTTTGAAAATATTAAATTAAATTAATCATATTCAATTAATTTGAAAGTTTTATTTCCTTGGAAACCTAATAATCCTCAACACCGCCGTGTTTCCGAGGGAAAGGTCCCCGAGGGCTCTGGAGTCGTTTTTGATAAGGTCAGATAAGAACAACCCAACTTGCGTATTCACAACGCAATTTCACATACATTGACCTGTAGCCACCTCATATGCTTCACGTGGTGCTCCACCATTGGACGTTTCGTGCAATTCTTTTCTCCTTTTCCTTCGGCAGCATAATTTCCTCCATAAAAGATGCCGACTTAGTACACGTGGACGCATCTTTTCCATTGCTTTTGCTAAACAAACTTTTATTTAGACCGTCCATTCCTCAAACCGCCCCTATATATGAAGCCTTTGTGCAAGGGTAGGTTTCATTCTAACCAATACCTCTTATTTGTCTCTTTGCCGTGTGATTTCTTTCTTTTTGCAGATCAGAGTTGTTCTCCATGATGATTTCCCGTCCAAGAATTCTGTCTTCGGTACCGGTTGCGTCGCTCCTTGATCTTCTTTTGATATAAGATTTTGTACGATGAGCGGATTAACGTAATCGGATCTAAGATCTAAAGTTCTCCGGTTTGCAGAGGCTTAAAGGCCTTATGCAGGAAAAGATTGGTATGATGTCCTATCTTTCTGAGTATTTTTTTCTTTTTATGTCTTCTGATTCCTCATGGATTCCTCTGTTTACGTTTTATTCTTGTAATCTTGCTGGATTCTTTTGTTTATGTTTATTCTTGTAATTTTTCAGAGATGGAGAAAGATTATATCTAAATAGGGAAGAGTTTTGGTCGAGGTTCGTGGTAAGAATGATGTTGGGAAAAAGCGTGTGGGCTGGAGCTTTGTTTTGAAAGGATGTGTAAGATGTCAGGGCAAAAGCCTTACTATTTATTTATGGAAGGGGGCTGAGTCCTGATCTATCTTTGTCATCCCCGACCTTTGCCATGACAGGTGCGCTTGCATGGCAGGTCACCCGAACTTAATAAAAAATTCAATTTTTTGGTGTTTTGAGGGGAGATCGCACGGGGGTTGCCCGGGTTCTCCCCTCTGCTGTGGTGTGGTGTGTCGTGCTTTTACTCTTTTCTCCCCTACCCTTCTCCCCTTTCGCTTTTCATTATTTACTCTGCCGTTAGTCCCCTCTGATACTCTTACACCATACGAGATGGATGCATGATCCACATCAATCATCATCATCAACATCGGAATAAGCTCATGATCTCCAAGCTATTGATCTCTACTAGCAAATCGCAAATCGCAAGGCCAAGGTATTCTTTACATATTTTAAACCAAAATTCGCCTTATCTAAATTTGCTTTAAAATTCAAGTTTTTGCTAGTTATTATGCAAGTAGAGTTAACCACTAATTTTGAACATGGCACAATCACCAGTAGGCTTTAACATATTTTGAGATTTTCATTATCATTGAAGATTGTAGAATAAATTTATAATTGGTCAAATATTTAGCTCTGATCCTAAAAAGAGCCTTTTAACATGATTTTGATTTTGTCACCTTTTTTATTAAACTTTTAAAATATTATGATTCAATCTCTTTTTCAAAAGTTAAGCAATACTGTTATATTTAACTCTTATAGTACTAATATCTTAATTTTGAAAACAAAATTTATCTTTTAAGAAATTAACTTAAAAAATAAATTAATAACCAGTATCTTCGGAAGCAAATTGAAACTATTATGTTGATATATTAGTTTATTAAATTTTCATTATATTGTCAACATTAATCAAGTTGTGGTCTATCAAGGAGAATTGAACTTAAGAAATTGGTTTTCAGTAAAAAATAAGTGTACCAAAGTACATGTGGTTATCTGTTATGCCTGCAATGAGAAGTGAATGAGAACATCTGCAGTTGCAATTGCAGATATAGAGCAATAGAGCAATATCATATCTGTCAACATTTTGCTCTCTTTACAAAGTACTGCCCATACTGTATTGTTTGTTAGTACTGATCATATACCATCTCAAAGCCATCTCGGCCAACACATTAAAGCTTTACATCATTCAAAGTTGCCATGCCTCTCTAACATTGGGTCATTTACCAGAATGTTTCAATATTGACTATTCTATTTTCTGGTTCATTTCCTTCTTGAGATTGTTGTGCCTTAAAAAATATGGATGCCCTTCAATTGCCTCAGCTATTTTCTATTCTATCATGGTTATTTTTATTTTCATATTAGTTATGAGGCCAAATGCATTTTTAGTATCTTAGTGTTGATTTGCTAGTGGTGCATTATCACTGTACAATTATACGAGAATGTCATCCATAGGTTGAGGCAGCGTGTGTATTTTGCTTGTATTGCTCTCTTTGTAGTTCTTTAGGCCCTTGCATGGGCTTCTGTTTACACTTGGTTGAAGGTTGGAGTTCCTTCGCTGGCTATTGAGGATTTTGATGAAAGATGTCCCAGTGGTGAGCATGATGTTGGGATATTAGTGGATTTACTACTATGTCAAGCATGTTGGCAATTGCATCTCTGTTCTGTGACAAACATTTAGAGTCAAGGTGGATGGAGTGGAGTGTTTGTCGAGCTTGGTCAACTTTCAAGATTTTATACCAGAAGGTATATGTACCTTGGAGTGAAGAAGCCAGCTTTGGAGGCTCATGATAAAAAAAAAAATCTATTGCAGCAGCAGGTCTATTCTTTGAAGATCTTTCCATCACTTGCTAATTGTTGAAGCATTGAAGGCTTGTTATTTGAACTCCTCTTGGTTTATATGGTGCAGCAGCTCTGCTTTACTGAGATTAGTGTTGAAGAACTCCTGTTATTTGTTGTCGGAGATTGATCAAAAGAGGTACATGCCGATTGTGTATCCAGTTCCTTTACATAGTGAAAATTTTCAGTGGACTACGGTCCCGTGGTTTTTCCCCTTAAGGGGTTTTCCACGTAAATTTTGGTGCCTTGTTTTTATTTATATGTCGCGCGTTTATGTTGGTGATTGGTACCCTCTGCAATTATGTCAAAGTTGAAACAGCTCTTTGGCAGTGTTGATATGCCTATGGTAGGTGGCAGTCAAGGTGATGAAAGTTAGTATTTACTTTCCGAATAAATTACTATCTTTTACATTTTTCATGTGTTTAAACAATATCTATTAAGTTTATTTTTAACTTTGTAGTGTGCTTGGTGTAGAATATGACTCTTGCTCTTGTATGATTTGTTAAATTTTATTTATTTTTTTCCCTTTGTTCCTCTTTTAAGTTTCTCTTATTTTTAACTGAATATTTGGCTCAAGCTTTGTGTTTTGATTTGTTAAATTTACTCTTTTTTGTCACTTTGATCCCTCAAATATTTGAAAAAGCCATTACTGTTTTGTATCTGGTCTCCATTGTATCAAGTTAGTTTTTGCAGGTTGAAGGATGGATTGAGTGGAGCAGCTGAAATTTGTTTAGTGGAGCTGAATCCCATATTTTAGTGTTTGATAGTGAAGATGAGTGAAACCGCATAATTCTGTGAAAATTTTTCAAGCTCTATTTGTAGATTTTCAATTAAATTTGATATTTGATTTTACCATTTTGGAATGTGAAAATATAAAAGTTATTGTGTTTTTACAGCCGATTTTAATTTGGAATTTTACCTAAGAGTGCTTTGATCCAACTGGCAACTGGCATACGCCCTTTTTATTTAAATATTTTTAATATGAACTGAAATTAAAAATGAGTTTCGAAGTTGTTTTGAACATTGTCAATATTTTCAATTACGGGTCAGTCATCAATTTTTGAGGGTGAAAACGAATAGTGATAATATATTCGACTTACAATTTTTGTTAAAAAAAAAAAGTTTATATTTTCGGCTTGAAAAGTCTCAGGTCTGGGGTGGGAAAAATGTTGTCAGAAAGTGAATTTGTGATGGCCGTATAGCCAAGGAAACTAGAGTCTGGGAATTAAAAGGAAAGCTGAGTTTTTCCACGCTGAAATCGTTTGATCCTTGTGTTTGGAAAGATCTGTAAGCTCAAAACGGTAGAGCGCTCAATCCCGACCAGGGGTTGGTGAGGTTGGTGGTTCGAATCCACCCAGATCTCCTTATTTATGTACTTGTCTTTGTATCCGTTTGATTCTGGTTGTCAAAGGTGTGGATCTCTCTGTCTTCCTTATTGGGCCTGGGCTTTTGTGGGAGGGTTTTAGGAGATAGGAAGATTTTTTTTTTTCTTTTTCCATAATAATCTCGCGTCTTTTGTTATCTCTTTTTGGTGTGGTAAATCCCATCTCATTTTTCAGAAGTCAGCTCTATAGCGCTCTTGTTAGTCACCCATCGGCCATCGCTGATTGAGATCCACATCCAGACTTCTACCCTTCCGCCATGGATTGTTTTGGACTGGACTGTAGATCTGAATACTTGAGACTGTAGTGTAAATATGAACAATTTGCATTGTAATATTTGATGACTGAGCAGAAACTTCATGTTGGAAAAATAGTTGGAAGGATAAAGTTTGAACCCAAATATCTAAACTTAGAAGGAAAAATCATGTGAATAAGTTATCAGGAAACAGATTGATAGTGTTCCAATTAGACGATAGACTGTCTGTTCTTTATCAGCTTCATCATCCAGGCCAAGTGGACTAATTAATTCGAGTCATCCCCATCCCTGCAAAGGCGACCTTCTTCGATCTGGGAATTGTACAGGAAATTTTCTGGAGCTGAAAACCTTGCTTAGAAACCCCAAGCTTTTCTTCTTCTTTCGTTCACGCCTGGCACTGCACTCGTGTATCAGCCTCCTGGAACCGGACATCCTCTCGTAGTTTGCGACTCTATCACAATTTATTCTCATCTGAGCATCTCCAAAGCCTTTATGGAAGATCCCCTTCGGAGCCTGAAGTTTCTGCAGAGTTCCATAGTTGTTGTCTTCTTGTGCTGAATCCTAAATCTCTAACTTTACCTCAGCACATGGTGGTGTGGGTGTTCTTTCTTGGAAACCTTGGTTTTTGTTTAAAAATGATGAGTGATCGTAGCATTTGTCAAATCAATTATTCCTTTTCTTTTCTTGTTTCGTAAGTCATGTTTTTCAAATGACTTGAAGAGGATTTTATTGGAACAGTTATGCAGGGTATGGCTGGTGGCTGCTTACAGTTTGTGGGCTTTGCCCACCCAAAAAATAATGTCCAGAGTGTAGTTTTGAGCTCAGGCCACATCCTGTTCCAAAAGTATCATAATCAAAGACAAAGCAATAAAATCCAATACGAGCATTTGTTGTAACTTCCATGGTATTAGGCATTGGAGGAGTGAGAAAAGTTAGGCTAACTTCCTTTTGTAGATTTTCCAACACAAACATGTGATGTTTGATATGAATTCAAAAGTTCTTAACATACATTTAATAAAAGAAATAAAAAATTAAACGAAATTCATGTATGATGATGAGATTAGAACAGGAGATTCGGTGGTTTTATAATCTTTTCGTTACAATCAGGACAAGACTTCATTGACGAGGAGGAGAACAGCAAAAACCATTAAAGCATTTGTCTTTTTAACTTCCATGGCACCACCACCTAATGGTAGTAGGCATCGGATGAGTGAATAAAAAGTTAGGTTAATTCCACTTTAAGATTTTCCAACCTAAACAATTGATTTGTGGAATGAATTCAAAGGCTTTTAAGTAGGCATAATGTTTACAAAAAATTAAATTATTTAAGAAAAATTAAATAAGTTTATTTTTTATTATGTTTAATCAAATTTTTTTATTTTTGTTTTGAATCAAATAAACTATTATTAATTAAAATATTACTTATTGTTTTATATTCACTTGGCTCTGACATGATATTGATGTGGAAAGTAAAAAATGTTACATAACTATATTATCATGCATAATATTATCAATTATGATATATCAACATGTTACATTATTATTAATTATAATATGTTAATATGCTACGTTAATGCCACATTATTTATTGTTAATTATAATATATTAGTGTGCTATGTTAATGCTACATTACTTATAATGACAAATAACATTTTAATCAAATTAATTATTAGTTATAAGAGTTTATTTAACTTAAAATAAAAATATAACTTATTTAATTAAAAATAAAATATAAGAATTTGATTGAACGTGATAAAAATATAAAAATTTATTTAAATTTTTTAAAATAATTTAGAGAATTTTTTAGATATTATGTCTCTTTCAAACGACATTAAAAAGCAAATATTTAAGGTGAGGTAATCCATTATACGTTTTCTTAGTGGAATATGGATCATCCTATAGATATACATGTTGGAAAATTTTTTTTATTTAGACTTTTTATTTGTATATTAATGGTCCAATTAAATGTGCTAATAAATTACTTTTAACATTCATAAATTCTATTTAATTCTTTTATTGATAAGAATTTAAGTGCTGTTTTAATCATCAGCACAACTAACAAAAACGTTAGTATCAAACGAAAAACTTAAAACAATTAAATTAAATTTGACAGAAATTTGGTAATTTTAAATTTCCTGCTTCTTAATATGATTATATCCAATGATTTCATGGAAATGTCAAATCCATTCATTAACCGCATGCTGGGATCAAAATAGATTAAGCAGGAGAAATTACTTCTGTACAACACATGTTCAATCTGAATAGTTACGTTAATTAATATTTTTGTGTGCATAATTTTTATTTTTAATTTTTTTAATTTTTATTCATGAGGATATGACGTGGCTGAAGGCATAGGTGAAACTCTTATTTATAAGAGTGAGCAATTGTTGATTAAAATCAAATTAATAAAAAAAATTGATTTAAACAGTTTGATTAATTCATAAATAAACATGATTTAATCGATTAATTCAATTAGTTTTGGTTTTGAATTTTTTTTTGGATTAATCGGATTAACCGATTTATATATAAGTCATTTATATCTTATAACACGTGTTTATAAAATGACATAAAAATTTAATTAATTGGATTATTAATTGAATTAATCGATTTAATTTGATTGATCAGTTAAAAACTTCATTTTCAATCTATTTAGTTAACTTTCACAATATATTTGATTAAAAAAATCTATTAACTAAATTAATCAAATTAACCCTTTACACGTCTCTGCACATTTAGAAACTAATGCATCCTCCTTTGACAAGGGATCTGTCAAAGCTGCAAATTTCTAGAACAGTTTGGTCAATTTTGAAAGTAACACACTGAAAAAAATTTGATGTGCCTGAAGTCCTAACCCTTCGGCGTATTTTGCGTTGAAAATGGAACACCTGGATTTTGAGTTGGGAATTACGGGGTTGGACAAACGCGATGCCTTGAGTCCATTTCTCCCCGTCACATCTTTCGATTTGCTTCTCTTTGAATTATGTGATTCAAAGTCCCAGCTCTCCCAGCAACCCTTAAATTCAACATAGGAGGCCATAACCAATATTAATTTTTTTAAAGTCTATGATTAATTTAATATTAAACTTCCGAGTGGTCAATTGCCAACATGAATCATACTTTACCAGAGAAATCATTACTTTTTTTTAATTGAAAATCGACGGCTGAGGAGAAGTCATCAAATATTTTACGAGTAAAATCTCATCAAATCTTGATGTGTTCTTCGCGTGCCTAGTCGTATAATGATTGTGAATATATTTGAGTTTTATTCCTTTGACAAATTCAAACAAAACAAATCCATACACTTGTTCAGATTTATTTTAGAATTTATCTAGTTAAAATTGGTTCGGTTTTATCTGTCAACATGAGGCTAAAATTTTCAGGTATAGTAATTTCAAAAGTTTTTAAATTATTTACAAATTTTTAAATAAATATTTATTATTTTATTACATTTGATGAAATCTTTATTTTTATTGTAGATCAGATAAATTATTATAATTAATAGTTAATTAATTATTATTAATTAAAATAATACATAATATTTTTATACCCACTTTGACATAAAGTGGTAAAATTGTCATGTCACTATTCACTATAACATAATATATTAACCTCATGTGATATAAAACGATAAATATCATATTGACTAATGAGAGTTAATCAAATATTAATTATAAAAGTTTATTTGATCGAAAATAAAAATATAAAAATTTGATTTAATGTAATAAAAGAATAACAGTATTTAAATTTTAAATAATTTTGCTTTTAGTATTATATCAAAACATTTTTATTTAGATAAAAATTTTGAATTTAACTTTTTTAAACAAATCTTTTTATTATTTTTATAAAAAGGTTGAATTTAAATTTTTATATAAAAAAATAAATACGCTTTTCATTAAACAAATTATTTCAAAAGCTTAAGTTTTTGTTTTAGCAAAAAAATTAAAAAACATTATTGAACATTTTTTCTTTATGTGGCAACATTTCTAGAATTAGGAAATGCCAAACCGTGACAGTGGGTACCATCAAAGTTTTGACAACTAGAAAGCAGGAAGGCGGACCATGAAATTTTGGAGAGTTATATAAGCTAGAAGGCTATGAAACCACAAGAATGGAGTGAGAAACGGGCTGCATTGATACCATTAATTCTGACTTTAAAGTTTGAAGTCACATCAACTTCAAAACAAAGGATTTTGAGTTTCCCTTAGCCAACATGAGTAATTAAGAGTCCTCATAAATGTTAGATGGAGAGTCCTATCCTAATATAAATAGCTAATTAATGAATTGCCCAATACAAAAATTTATTTTTTAATTGTAATTTTATTTAAAAAATTGTTAATTAATGAATTAATCACATATTATAACGAAAGTAAACTTTAATTTTCAAAAAATTTTCATCTCATCACTTTTTTTTATCACAAGATTATAAAAATATCAATATTCATCAATTTCGTGAAATATCCAAAATCTATATTTATAAATATGTATTCATTAAATGATAATTATTTAAATATTTTTATTATAATTATTAGTAAAATTTATTTAATTTATAAATTAAAAAAATTAATTGCATTGAATGATTTTATTAAAAATATTTTTTAAATGTTAATAGTATTGAATAATTTAAATATTAAAATTTTTAAAATTAAATATTAATATTTTTTAATATTTTAAAATAAATATTAATATTTATCAAACTTATTATGTTAAGCTTAGTATAAAAGTAGTTTTTTTTTTTGAAAAATATTTTATACCTTTCAAGAACATAAGACATTTTACATGATTTGAAAATTTTTCCCGTTGATCTATAAAATAATATTTTCATCTTTCTAATAAGTATAAATCATAAAAATATTTTTGAAAAATTATTTTATGTAAAGGTAAGCAAACTCTAATTTTGACTTTAAAATTTGAAGTCACGTCACCTTCCGAAGAGAGGATTTTGAGTTTCCCTAAGCCAACAAAAGTGGTTAAGAGTAGTCGTCAATTGTAAGATGGAGAATCCCTATCCCAATGTCAATAGCTAATTAATGAATTGTCCAATACAGTTTTTTAATTGTAATTTTATTTAAAAAATTGTTAATTAAGAAAATTTTGAATTAATTAACAAACTTTAAATAATTTTTTTATTACCTTCAATTAATTAATCAAATTTTTATATTTTTTATTTTAAATTAAATAATTTTTTATAATTAATAATAAAATAATTATTATTTTATGTTCATGTAATGTTAAGGTAAAAAAAAATTACTATCATTATATATTTATAATAAATTAATATGTCACATTAATATAATGTAATATAGAATTATAATTATTAATTATAAAATTTTATTTAATAAATATTAATTTAATATAATAAAAAATTAAAAAATTAAAATGTTTAAATAATTCAAAATTCTTTTTAAATATTCTATCAATTTTTATTTTATCTTTATCATAACATATTTGAATAAACTAGCAAAATTTAAGTTTCGAGTAGGAAAATAAATTGTATAATTTTTATATTTTTGGGGCCAAAAGCCGCAAACCCCGTGGATTAATAGCCAGCGCATGTTTAAACGTTTTCAGCAACTGCTGAAATACGCACAGCAGGAATGACCCGATTTCGTTGCTTAACGTAAGTAGAAATTCGTTTATGATAAGGCAAAACGGGAAAGGTGCACACATCAGAATTCGTTTAATAACGCTGTCTGCCTGCCAAACACGGCGGATTAAATGATACTAACACTCTTAACAGCAGCGCCGGAAAATTTAGCTCATTCTAGCCAATAATTTTCTCAGACGTAATAGAATGCTATAGAGTAAGTCACTTGCGAAATGGAAATGATACTGTCTGATGCTAACATTTAATTCGTTTGCAATTATTTTTCCAATAATAATAATAATAATAATCCTTCGCAATTTCTCAAAGAATACTTAACAATACTTACTCTTTTTATTCAAAAAAGTGAATATTTTATCTAAATAAGTTATAGAATTTAAGAATGACAACAGATAATGTATTAGTTAATTAAGATATCCTTATCCTAATTTGAGTACAAAATCTAATATTCATACTTTATCCGAATTATATTAATAATAATTTTTTAGAAGTTGAGTAAAGTCCAAACTCACTAATTTAGTTAAAATTGGTGTGAGTACTCACTACAGAATCAAATTCGACCGGAATTCAATGATAATTTTTTTATTAATTATATATTCTATTAATCAAAATGAAATTAATAAATTTTATTTAAACAATTTATAATTTAAAATAAATAATTTCAATTATAAATAATATATACTAAAAAATAATATAAAATAAAATTAATATTTCAAAAAATTATTATTTATAATCAGATTTGAAATAAAAAATTATAATAATACTATATGTGCTTTACCTGAATCTGTTTACAAAGTACTCTAATTCTTTACCGTCTCTAAACATATTTCAAGAACGAAGCGTCTAGCCAGTTAATTGCTGGTGCTGTATACCGTATACCCTCTTTTTCCATATTTTTTTTCCAATGAAAGGAGAGAGTTAATTTAGGCGTCTATGAAATAATAAATAATAAATGGATAAAAAACTATTCGATATTGGAGTCCAAACTGGTGCGACGAAAAGGACATATTTTGATGGTCCAAATTTTTGGCCCTTTGTAAAAGTCGTTTCCTCTATAAAGACGGAGGGGCAAACCAAGGCGCAAGAATCGGAGTTGCATCGGGCCCCGCTTGTGCGCTTGAATAGACTAAAGCCAACACCGTGGACTCGCCTACCCAGTCCATTCTCTTGCTTTCCCACCTTAATAAAGGAAAATCCTCGCCACCCTCTCTCCCTCTCTCTGTGTCTCGCTCTCGCTCTCGCTTGAAGTAAATGACACTTTGTTAGACTCAATAATTTTCCTCGCGTTCTTGGCACGAAATCTGGTCCGTTTCTTTTTTGTTCGCCCCTGAAAGCTTTCGATATTCAGCTGTTTTTGCTTAACCGGGTATATTTCTTTCTCTCTTTTTTTTTTTATTGTTTTTGTTTAACGTTTGAACTTCTTGTGCCGGCCGTCGAAAAAGCCGGATGTCGGCCGTTGGAAACACTGATCGTCAATCTGTTTGTTTTACCGCAGAATTATTTTTTGTTAGGAAATACCTATGGTGTTGTGGAGTAGATCTACCAGCATTGACTGATTCGTTTTATTTATTTATTGCAAAATTTTCTATTGATCATGAGAGTTGAAGAAAATATTGTTTTTTTCGAAAGTTTAGGTAGGGACAAATCTGTTTTTAAATGTTTGTAAAGTGATGGATCCTTACGAGCTCTGAGTCCGGTAGTCGTTCAGTAAATGTTTGAAAGATGAAAACGGTGTCGTGGCCATGATTTTCTTTTCCTTTGCTTTGCTTTTGGAATTTTCATTTAAGAGAATTAAATATAAAATTAATTCCGAGAATTAAACTGTAAAGTCTTATAAGTTATTAAGATTGTGGTTGACTTTATTTGCAGTGAAAAATGTTTCTTCGGAGAAGGCCTACACAGAAGGATGATTCCGAGCAACGGGATGCAAAGGTAATTATTTATTTATTTAGTTTATAATTCATATTTGCATTGAAGGAGAACAAATTTAGTTAATTATCAGCAATTCAGCATAACCATCTCTCCGGGAGGTCTATGTTGAATTTGGTTTACAGCTTTAGTAGTCTTTGTTGATCAAAACACTGAAAATAATGAGGAATACAACCGGACTTTCTCTTGATGAGGTAAATAGGTAGGTGTAAAGACTAAAGTAATTGAATTTTCTGTTAATTAGTAGGGTCGATGTATTCTTTGGGGTCCAATTCCAAGTAAATTCTTGATACTTGGTCAATATGCAGGTCAGTGAACTCAGGACTGCTATAGGCCCCCTGTCTGGACGCAGTTCAAAGTACTGCACCGATGCATGCCTGAGGAGATATTTGGAAGCTCGGAATTGGAATGTTGACAAGTCAAAGAAAATGTTGGAAGAGACATTAAAGTGGAGATCAACTTATAAGCCAGAAGAAATCCGCTGGGTATGTTAGATAAGTTACTGCCTACATATTTTAGTTATGCGTATAAGTTGGTTCTGATCAGTCTGTCTTGTTAGGACCGAAGGAGATTCCAAATCCTCTTAGAATCCTATAAACTTTACATAGTAGGTTCAGGTTGAAACTTGTTTAAATCAGTTTTGGTGTCTTAATATACAATTAAAATTTTTGAATGAAACTGGATAATTGTTCTTGCCTTGTAACTTGATCATGTGTTTCATTCGGTATTTGCATATGATTATGAGTTTATAACTGGGGCAATTTTTGGCAATAATTGCTTTGTTTCTGGTTTCTCAAACTTACTGCTTGACATGTTCTCCAGCATGAAGTGGCACATGAAGGAGAGACTGGAAAAGTTTCCAGGGCTAACTTTCATGACCGTCAAGGAAGGACTGTGCTTATAATGAGGCCTGGAATGCAGGTTTGCACTAGGTTTCCTTCAGTTTGTTTTCTCACCAATCTTTTTTTAATTTGCACTAATAATTTTTCCACCTATATTGCATGGCAGAACACAACATCAGCAGAAAACCACATCCGCCATATGGTCTATCTCTTAGAAAATGGTATCATGAACCTCTCTGAGGGCCAGGAACAAATGTCCTGGTTGATAGACTTCACTGGATTTTCATTAAACACCAATATTCCTGTCAGAACAGCTCGTGATATCGTTTACATTCTACAAAGCCACTATCCAGAGAGGCTGGCCATTGCTTTCTTGTATAATCCACCAAGGATTTTTCAAGCATTCTATAAGGTTTGTTCTCCTGACTCTTTCCATTAGTTAGTTTAGCTATAGCTCTAATTCAGTAATTATCCTTGTTTCCGGTCTATGTTCCAAACAAATCTTTTGTCTTCTTCCTTTTGTAAAAGTTAACTGCTAGCTTGTTTCATCACATGAGAAACAGAGAGTGAATTGGTGCACATTGATTACCATGAATTCTGATTAATATTATATAAAAAAGGCTGTCAGGAAAGAGATTGGTGAACCTAGCGAGCGGACTAGATCTGGAGTTAGTTCAATGTGGTTGAATGCAATATGTCAATCTTAAATTGTGACTCTAACATTTTGCATAACGGTTCCTTAGGAGTTAGGTCTTTCATTCGATTGACATTGTGCTATGTGCATCTCCATAGGCTGTCAAGTACTTTCTGGATCCAAAAACAGCTCAAAAGGTGAAGTTTGTTTACCCTAAAAACAAAGATAGCGTGGAGCTCATGAAATCATTCTTTGATGTTGAAAACCTTCCCAGTGAATTTGGGGGAAAAGCCTCACTTAAGTACGATCATGAGGAGTTCTCACGGTTGATGGCTCAGGATGATGTGAAAACTGCAAAGTTCTGGGAAATTGATGAGAAGCCCTACCACATTGGCAATGGGCTTTCAGTGACTGAAGTGGCACCGGAGCCAACACCCATTGCACAGGCAGCAAGCTGAGAGAGCCTGCCCATCATGCAGAATGGTCTTGGCAGAAATCAAGTGATGTAAAATACAGCCACCGGATTGAATCCAACAGATTAGCTTCAAATTTAAATCAACCTAAATGGGAACTGCATATCAAACATCCAGTTCTTATGTGAATAAACGTCATTTCTTGTTCTCACTGCTAACCATTATGAATGCTACTCTAGTGTTTTTTCTTGGCCCCGCTCCCCTACAAAAGATTGAAGATACTGCTAGTTTATTAGTTGGCAGGAGTAAATGTGATCTCTCCAGTCTCGTTTTTTTTTTTTTTGAAAGTTATGGTCTGTCCAGTCTTTAGTGCCAAATTAGTCATTACTTGTCAAAAACAAACAAAGCTGCCCCTTACTCTTGTTTTCAAGCGAAGGTTTCCTTCTACTGCTAATCTCTCCAAACAATTCGAAGTTGAAGCTATTTGTTACTCCAATCAAGTTTTCTTTTATTTTTTATTGAATTTTTCCTTTTTTTAAAAAAAATAAATATATTTATAGTTTGAATAATTACCTTGATCCTCTTTTGCTCTTGGTATAGAAAAATGATTATTGTTTGTCAAGCAACAATGAATTCTTGAAATTGATGATCAATATTTTTTTTTTATAATTGAAGGAGGGAGTATTCAAATCTTACTCTTTAAAAAGAGAGATAATACATCAATCAATAGTCAAATGCTCGGATATGATATGATGATCAGTACTTTATGCAAGAACCTTTTATAAATATTCTAGAGGAAACAATTTAGAAAACATTGCAAGTATTCCTCGATATTAATATTTCTTGATATTAATAAGTTTTTTACTTGTATCATTTAGTTTTCTTGTTAATCATTTTGACAAGGGAGGTACTTTGATCCTTTGTTTTGAATGTTATTATTTATGTTAACTTTTTTCTTTTACTTCTAACAAAATATGCCTTTTCAAATTTATTGATCTAAACATTTAATAATTTTATTTTTTATCCAAATAATATAATTATATAAGAGTTTATATTTTAATAGAAATATCCAAATCCAAACTAGTAGGTAGGAATTTCTTATTGAAGTTTTAGAGTTTTTGCATGTCATTTTAAGTAAGCATTTTGAACTAATTTGAAATATTAGTATATCATTATATCATTATATTTTTGACATATTCTTTAACTTGTGTTGTGGCATTTATTCTTTAACTTGCATAGATGAATATACAAATGTTACATACGATAATTGGATGATATATAAAGTTCTCGTTGATTGTTAAGCCTTTTTGTTTGATTCCCTTAAAAATGCTTTATTTTTGCCCTTGTTGACAATGTGCATTTTTATACACTGTAAATATACAGCAAAACATCATCATTTGTAATGAACTATAGGTTGTGCTTGGTATATTGATGCGATTATGATTACTGAGTATGTGATTATTAGAAATTTAATTATTAGAAAATAACTTTACAACTTTTAGTATAATATGGGAAAGTGATAATTGTAGAGCATGTGAGGATTATATTATATAATACTTAGTTTAAAATTACTTTACTGAAAATATAATGTAAATTCACAAAATTACATTTTATGTATAAATATAAAAAATTGAATAAATTTAATTTTATAATAAAAATTTTTAACTTTTGAACTTTATCTATTAAAAACAATAACACCACAAAAATAATATTTATTTTTACCTTAAGCTTCTAAAAATTAAAAATAATATTTAGAATCATCACATAAATAATAAAAAACATTATCTAAACAAAAGTCTATCAATCGATCGATAAATTTACTATTTCAAACGTGTATGATGCTTCATTTCTCTCATAACCACCACACTTAAAACATTTCTACTTCTTGAATCCTCTCAACTCTCTAATAATTTTTGTTGATTCTAAACTATTTAAAGTATTTCTCTCAATTTTTGGTCTAAAAAGCATGAAATTTACTCAAAACATTTCCAAAATTCTTAAAAATTTGAGTTACGGTTTTATAAAATTATAAAAGTCTCAATCTCTCTAATTCTCGAATTTGATGATAAAATTTTATTCAAATGTATTGGTGATTGACTACCCTTCTTACGGGCAATGAAAAGAAAGAAAAAAAGATAAAAAAGGAGAAGAATAGAATAGAAAACAGAATAGGAGGGTCGATAGGTTAACTTGAAGGAATTTTTTTTGTAACTTTCTTATTACTAAGTGAAAGTAACTGTCGGAAATGTGATTTCCATCCTAAAATATCGATCAAACATTGCAATGTGAGTCTTTGGAATTTGCCTATAGGGAATGTCTCACACTTGTATTACACCAAACGTACCCATAATGTATAATGAGGTGTATCAACTATCAAATATTAACCTTTCAATTTTTACATAATAAAAAACTAACTTCAAACATAAAAAGAAAGAATTTATCTAGTGTGCTGAAAAGCAAAGTTTCAACTGAATAATTAGCAACCATGACCAACATTACACGTGGCAAGATCAGACTGCATAGCCTTTTGCGATCTTTACCCTACCAAACAAACAAAGTAAGTGACGTGGCACTACGCCATTGGAATGCTGGAAGAAACAAAAAAGTAATCAGCAATCAACGCCTTCAATAAGTCCTTTCTAGTTTTCCACTGAAACGACTTGAAGACCCCAAGGTGAGAAAGGTCCCGTGAACCAAACGTAGAAACGAAGAACAGTGAAAATGACTCTGGGCCTGATCAATGCGAACCCAGTGGTTCATGCCAAGAAAGAACGAGTCGCTCGAAGCGAAGATCCTCACGGCGAGGACGCCGTTGATCCCCTCGAAATCTATGATATCCTTTTAGTAGTATTCAGTTTCCATGTATTATCTGATGTTGATTTATTTTTGTTCAACAATTAAATTGAAGGAGCCAGTTTGTTCAATTTGTTTTCTTAGCTTAGCTCGAATTTAGATTTCATTTACATCTTTTACTTGCTTGCTTGCATTTATTCAGCAATAAAACAGAGTATTTCTCATTTCTGTGATTGAAAAAACGAAGTTGAAAAAAGAAAAAAAATGTTGTGATCTTTGACTGGAATTGTAAATTTTGTGAGGGATATAAGAGATCCAGAACATCCGTATTCATTGGAGCAGCTTAGTGTTCTCTCCGAGGAATCAGTCACCGTTGATGAGAAGCTCGGCCGAATTCTGTGAGTGTTTTCTTGATTTAATTTTGATTCAGATTTTAATCAAAATTTGTGACAATTTGAGCAAAATTGAGTTTAGAATTAGTAAATTTAGGTTTTCTAAGTTCAATATCGTGAAACTGTGGTGTTAATTTGTTCAGTTGCTTTTTAAAGCTAATTATTATTTTGCATTTTATTTATTATGTAGTAATATAGTTGATTAATGGTTTAGGATAACTTTCACTCCCACTATTCAGCATTGCAGCATGGCGACGGTAATCGGTCTGTGCCTGAGGGTTAAATTAAAAGAATGTTTTCCTCCACATTTTAAGGTCAGTTTCTGTTCTATATCAAGTTGTAAATTTTAAAAGTCTTTATTATTTAATTTTTCCTCTCAGTTTGTTTTCACAAAAAAGGAAATTCTATTGCATTGTTGTTTTAGAAATAAAAATTCTGAAAAGAAGCAATTCCGTTTCCTCTTCTGTAAGCACTAAACCGATAAAGAGAAGTCTTTGAATCTTTATAATCCTCTATTTTCCTTCTTCCTTTTGTGTAAATTTTTGAAGTCTCGATAATTTCTTTCTTTATTACATTTGCTGGAAATCATTTATGGTTTAATGATTTTTATCTTTACAGGTTGACATCAAAGTCGCTCCTGGATCTCATGCTGATGAAGAATCAGGTGAAGTTGGAAAAATAGTATATAGAAGTTTATCTGAGTAGCTCTTTTGAATACTTTTCTTGAAAATGAATGCATCTTATCTGAAGTTTGGGGGACTGATTGTTCAAGTTTCATCTGGGGAGATCCAATTTTATTCGGGAACTTGAAGAGCGAGACCAACACATTTTGATCACTTATGCAATGTGTATGCTTAAGTGGAAACTTCCTACAATGAAATATGTTAATTGTTTTAAATGTACCGGCCAATGCAGAAATTAACAGTAAAAAAGTTAAAAATCTACATTTTTAGGTGGAAAAGATGTCTTATCAATTCATAAATGAAATATCTTTGGTGTGATTTACATATGCTAGGATTTTAATGTTTTAGTTTGTTCTTTTCGAACAAAAACTTTGGGATTTTCTTACCAAGAGAAATGATAGATCAGGAGAAGTATACATTTACCTGAGTCATTCATATACTGTAATAGTTTGCCCTTCATCAACCTTTCTTGCTATAGTGAGTTATGAAGCCTCTATCGAGACTTGAATGTTATGTGAGTGTTTTCTAGCATCTAATGTGTTATCTCAATAGATTCAGCTAATCTCTTTCACCATTTTCATCTTTCAGTCTCTGGTCTCTCTGATCTAATCCCTAAAATGTTCCATCTTGTTTTTTCTTCAGTTAATAAGCAGCTAAATGATAAAGAAAGAGTTGCCGCTGCCTTGGAAAATCCTAATCTTCGCCAACTTGTGGACGAGTGCCTTTACTCCAATGAACTTTGACCAAGTACGCTCACCTAGTCTGAAGCTTATGTACAGATCAAATGTCAGCAGCTCCGGATGCAATAAGAAATGACTTTGTTGTGATGTAACTTTCATTTGCTGAGTGTATATGCTTTGTGTGTGTCCTCGTTTTCCTTCATGCAGAAGAGTGCAGCTAGGATATTTCCTTAGATGGGGGAAAACTAATAGTGCTACATGTTTTTTATCACATGGCCGTCCTCCATGTGGCAAAGTGTAACAATTTAGAGAACAGGAACCTTTTTATGTTTGTTGGAATTCGGAAGCAGGACTTGTTAGAATTTACTGAAATAGTTGTCTTGTGAAATGACTCCTTTTAGTTTGAAAACTTGGATCGAGTTCTGGAAACATTCTTGAGTTGGCTTTGCCTTTGTGTTCCCCAAATTTTGCAATGTAATTTACTGATGCAAAAGTAGCAGGTTGAGATTGTGGAGCAAGATGCTGTTGATGTCATATTGTGTCCAAGCCACGATAAACTATGGAGGGAAAAGGAAGATCTTGGATGGGTAAAAACTTTTGTGATCCCTCAATGCCTTTTTAGCAGCAGCTAATTGTTTCATGTGTGTATATATAAATGTATAAATCAAACAATTTCAAGTGAGTTAGTTATTACATATTCTCTTTTACTTTGTATGTTAGACCCGTAGCTCGTTTTGTTCGCGTGCTGGACCCGTAGCTCAGTTGGTTAGAGCGTTGGTCTTATGAGCCGAAGGTCGCGAGTTCGAGCCTCGCCGGGTCCAATAATTAATTATATTATTTTTCTGGTTCACCTCTTCAAAATTATAAAATTTAACTAATTATGCTTTATCCTCTTGTTCACCTCTTCAAACTTATAGAATTTATGTAATTAATTATGCTAAAATTATGGAATTTATCTTGTGCTTTATCCTCTTGTTCACCTCTTCAAACTTATAGAATTTTTATAACTAATTATGCTATTAAAATTATAGAATTTATCTTATGAGAATGCTATTTTTATTCAATGTTCGTCTCTTCAAAATTATGGAAATTATCCTATTCATGAGAATGCTCTTTTTCTTGCTCATCTTTCGAAATTATGGAATTTTTCCTATTCAATTTTCGCCTGTTCAAAATTATGAAATTTATCCTATTCATGAAAATGCTGCCTTTCTTACTCATCCTTCAAAATTATAGAATTTATCCTATTCATAAAAAAGTTATTTTTCTTCTTCGTCTTTCAAAATTAAGAAATTTATCATATTCAATATAAATGTTTTTTTTCTTATTCGTCTCTTTATAATTATAAAATTTATCTTATTTAATTTTCAAAATTACAAAATTTATCTAATTTTTAAAATTATAAAATTAATCCTATTCAATGAGATTCCTTCAAAATTATGGAATAAAACAACCAAAAGGAAAGAAGGCAAGGGAAATTTGATGATCTTTCAATTTATTTTCATAGGTAAAATGTTCCTTTACCAGTCTGTTGTTTTTTTGATTCGACATGGAGGGATGTAATTGGATTATATTCAGTACAAAAAAGCGCGGGAATTCACGCCAACGAATCTGGTTGTCGCAAAGATGTACGGTTGAAAGGAAACGACGTAGTTTGAAACATTTATTCACCTCAAAAGTAGAAGCTCTCACGTTATAGAGCCATGCTCCAATGATTTGAGAAGAGGCCGGAAAGAAACCCAGAAAATGGTGCACAGCGCCTATGATTCCTTCGAGCTCCTCTAGATTGTCCCACTAAAATCGACGCCATCGAATCGTACGGCTCGAAGGTCCTCCTCGGTTGCTCCGATGGGTCCCTTCGAATCTACGGTCCAGATTCCTCCGGCGCAGACCGGTCTCCGCAGACCGATCAGCGCCCGTTGCGGAAGGAGCCGTACGCACTGGAGAGAACCGTTGCACGGTTTTCAAAGAAGGCTCTGCTCTCAATGCAAGTATTGGAATCGAGAGAGCTACTCTTATCGCTCTCTGAATCGGTCGCTTTTCATTGGCTACCGAATTTGGAAACCATTGCTGTGATCGCCAAAGCTAAAGGCGCTAATTCCTACTCTTGGGACGACCGGATAGGCTTCCTTTGTTTTGCCAGGCAAAAGAGAGTGTGTATTTTCAGGCACGACGGTAAGTCCTTCGATTTCTCCTTCTGTTCATTATTTTTGGTTACCTGTAAATTATCTTTCTAATTGAATATTTAGGTCTTGTTTGATTGTTTCTTTTTCTATCTTTTTCTTGAACTTTTGGAAGAAAACAATAGTAGAAAGTCCGTTTGGATAAAAAGCAAATAGAAATATTTTTCAATATTTTAAAATGTAATTTCTCTGAGAACCAAATGTCTTCATTTTACGTTTTTTATATTGAACAATCAATAAGAATAGGTAATTTTGGTTTTGCTTTTTATTATTTAGCAATTTCTTATGAATAAAAAGGAAAATAAGATCTGTCTTTTTGGTTCAGTTTTGTAAACTGGATAAATATTTTCGGAATTAAATGTTATCAGTCTGCTAACTGTTTAGTGGAATTGATTGATATGCAAAATGTATTTTTGGAGGACGAGGTTTTGTGGAGGTGAAAGATTTTGGTGTACCAGATACTGTAAAGTCGATGTCATGGTGTGGTGAGAACTTATGTCTAGGAATTAGGGAGGAATACATGATCCTAAATGCCACGAATGGTGTGTTGTCGGAGGTGTTTTCTTCTGGGAAGATAGCGCCACCTTTGGTTGTTGCTCTTCCCTCTGGGGAACTTATTCTTGGGAAGGTACTGACTCGCTTTAATAATTTATTCATGACTTTAGGATTCTTTTGGTTGGGAGTAATAAGATGTGCTGTTCCTGCTGCCTTAGGAAAACATTGGAGTCTTTGTGGATCAAAATGAAAAGCTGATAGGGTATGTTGGTCCGAGGCTCCAGCTGTTGTTGTCATCCAGAGGCCATATGCTATAGCTCTGTTTACAAGACGCGTTGAGGTAGCATGACTAATTGCTAAAGAAGATTGGATTTTATGGACTTAAATTTGGTTTATGCCCTTTCCCTTAACTATTCTTTGCAGATTCGCTCTCTTCGAGTTCCGTATCCATTGATACAGACGATTGTCCTCCAAATGCACATCATCTTATAAAAAGTAACAATGCTGTAATTGTAGCATTAGAAAATTCTGTTTGTGGGCTCTTCCCTGTTCCTCTTGGTGTGCAGGTGCTCCTAGTATGCTTAAGAAGTTTAATGCAATTAAACGACTGTAGCTTCAAATCCAGATGCACCACCTTCTTTAAGCTTTTATATGAATGTTGGTCATTCTTTTTCCCCCTTGTTTATGCTTGAACATCATATTTTGCCCTTCTCTTGTAACTCTTTTATGCTTTTGACTATGGCATGCATATGCTAACTCTAAAGAAATGCTTTGGTTATTGCATTAAATGTTCCAGCTTGCATTGCAGATCGTCCAATTAACAGCATCTGGAAATTTTGAGGAGGCATTGGCCTTGTGTAAGCTGCTTCAACCAGAAGATGCGAGCCTGAGAGCCGCAAAGGAGGGGTCAATTCACATAAGGTGTGTTTTTCCCCATTTCCAGTTATTACTTTGTGCAGCTATATCAAGTTAATTGGCTTATGTCATGTTTAATAAGAATTAATTAATCATTCCAATGGTTACTTATGTTTAATATGCCACAGCATAGTGTACACCTTTTAAAAACCTTTGCACATCATCATACTCCTTTATTTTCTCAAGGTCATGGTCCTTACAATTCTCAAGGTATTCTAAACACTGCATATGAAAAATCTACCCCCAAAATACTTCCAAAACCTTCTTTTTCCTGGTATATAGTCGTAAATTTTCTGCAGGTTGTTCAGGTGATTCATTCTGCTTAATTGGTTGTGTCTCCTTGTTGCAGATACGCTCATTATCTTTTTGACAATGGGTGCTATGAGGAGGCAATGGAGCACTTTTTGGCATTTCAAATAGATATTACCTGCATGCTTTCTTTGTACCCATCCATTGTTCTTCCCAAAACAACTGCAGTTCCAGAGCCAGAGAAGTTATTGGACCTTTCTCTTGATGCTTCACAACTTTCAAGAGGTTCATCTGGTCTGTTGGATGATCTGGAAACCTTGCTTCCACAATCATCAGAATCTGATGAGAATGCAGCACTTGAGTTCAAAAAAATGAGCCACAATACTCTTATGGCTCTTATCAAGTTCCTACAGAAGAAGAGATTCAGTATTTTAGAGAAGGCTGCTGCTGAGGGAACGGAACAGGTAGTTTTAGATGCCATTGGAGATAATTTTACTTCGGCTAGGTTTAAGAAGTCCAATAAGGTGAGGCTAATTTCAAGTTTTTTATTGTTAATAATGTTTGTTAAAAGCAAAGCATATTTTGTGATTCGATGTCAGCTCGTGCACTAGAATTTGACTTTATGCAGAAGTGCATAATTTATGGACATAAACCAGCTAAAAGTTTCCTTCCTTAAATCCCAATATGTTGATTGAAAATTCTTGCAATCAGTTCTGTTAATATCCAATTTCTTTTCATACTTTCTTTCTTAATGATCTGACATAATGTTTGGTCCCTTAGGTACGTGGTACCTTTCCGATTAACTCAGCTGCTAGGGAGATGGCAGCAATACCGGACACAGCCCTCCTCCAAGGTCTGCTTCTTACTGGGAAATGCTCAGCAGCTTTAGAATAGCTGAAAGGTCTTAACTACTGTGATGTAAAAATATTTAAGGAGATTCTTCAGAAAGGGAATCATTATGCTGCTTTATTAGAACTTTACAGAATTAAATCAATGCACCGTGAAGCTCTAAAACTACTACATCAATTAGTAGAAGAGTTAAAATCAAACCAATCGCAAGCTGAGCTCATCCAAAAGTTCAGTGCTGAGGCAATTATTGAATATCTCAAGGTCAGTTTATGCTATGGAAGCATTAGGCTTTTTGGGTCATGCGTGTTCTGTAGAATGTAAAATACAATGTTATAAAGAGGCTGTGTGAAGTTTTACCCCTGAATAATATGAAAGACAATGTTAATTTTGTTATGGATTGACCTTCTGGACTCAACACTATGCTGTGATAGAACTTTTATATGCTGAATACTTTGTCTGGTTTTATTGGCAGCCTCTCTGTGGCATTGATCCCATGCTTGTCCTCAAGTTCTCGATGCTTGTTCTTGAAAGCTGTCCAACAGAAACCATTGAACTTTTTTTGTCTGGAAATATTCCAGCAGACTTGGTCAACTCTTATTTGAAGCAGCATGCTCCAAACATGGAGGGCAGGTAGTTGGAGCTTATGCTTGCGATGAATGAAAATGGGATCTCAGGGAACCTTCAAAATGAAATGGTAAAGCCTTTTTAATCAAAATAACTTTCGGTTGTCATTTGAAGCCACTGGAGTTCTCATAGTTGCCACTTGTGTTGGTGATAGTGCAGCTCATAGTACTATCAATGACTATTGTAGGTACAAATTTATCTCTCAGAAGTACTTGAATGGTATACAGAACTAAGTGCTCAACAGATATGGGTTGAGAAGGCTTATTTGCCGACTAGGAAGAAATTATTATCTGCATTGGAAAGCATCTCAGGATACAATCCGGAGGCTTTGTTGAGGCGTCTTCCTCAAGATGCTTTATTTGAAGAGCGTGCGATTTTGGTGGGAAAAATGAGCCAACATGAGCTTGCGTTATCGCTATATGTTCATAAGGTAGTTTCTTACATGGTTCATCCAGTTTCCTTATATTGAGAAAGATGGTTAATAGGAAAAGCTAAATTATGTTGAACCTTTGGTTGAGCTAGGCTACTATAATATGCTTTCCCCCTCCCTCCCCGTCATCACACCCCTCTTTTTATTTTATTTTTTATTCCTTAAACCTCTTGTTCTTCTTATGAATATGCTCCTATTAACTGAACTGCTCTTGACCTTTATAGCTTCATGTACCCGAACTGGCACTGGCCTACTGTGATCGGGTTTATGAGTCTGTGGTTCATCAACTGCTGGTAAAATCTTCTGGCAATATATACCTCACGCTTCTACAGATCTATCTGAATCCTCAAAAAACAACCAAGAATTTTGAAAATAGAATTACAAATTTGGTATCATCCCCAAATACAAGCATCCCAAAGGTTGGTTCAGCAGCTTCAATTAAAGGTAAAGGAGGACGTAAGAAAATTGCCTCTATAGAAGGTGCAGATGATATTCATATTAGTGCCAGCAACACTGATAGTGGCAGGATTGATGGTGATGCCGAAGAATCGGGTGAGGAAGGAGGTTCTACAGTTATGCTTGATAAGGTGTTTGGTCTTTTGAGCCGAAGGTGGGATAGAATCAATGGAACTCAGGCACTCAAACTCTTACCAAGGGAGACTAAGCTACAGGTATGTACCGAAATCCTGAATTGCTTACAAAGCTCCTGAACCAGTTGTATCTGAGTGTATGTAGTCATTGATATCTAAGTTGCTAGATTTCCTTTTGGGCATCAGAGTATCAATTGTAAGCTCTTTCTTTAAGGTATTTGTCTATTTCCTGCAGAACTTGCTTCCATTTCTGGGACCTCTTCTGAAAAAATCCAGTGAAGCATACAGAACTTCTCTGTTATCAAGAGCTTGAGGCAGAGTGAGAACCTACAGGTATGATACTGTTTTACTTACAAAAGAAAAACAGTTTAGCACATAGTATGAGGTTTTCGTATTAGCATATGTATATATATTTATATCTTCACAAATATCATATCGTTGGTTCCTCGAATAATGCTTTTTTGATTTTCTTTCGTCTAAGCATCTGTCTGAATTCCTCTTTGAAACAGGTGAAAGATGAACTCTACAGCCAAAGAAAAGCTGTGGTGAAGATCTCAAGTGACAGTATGTGCTCTCTCTGTAACAAGAAAATAGGAACGAGCGTATTTGCAATCTATCCAAACGGGAAAACACTGGTGCACTTTGTTTGCTTCAGAGATTCGCAAAGTATGAAAGCAGTAGCCGAAGGCTCACCATTAAGGAAGCGATGATCTTTGCTAGTATCCATAGAAAGGATGCATTGCTATTCAGTCACGACCAAGATGCAACTCACTTGCCCAGAATCGAGCTCCGAAACAGTCTTGGAGGTATTTATATATAGGAGACTTGCCTTGCGAATGCTGTGCTTTTCACATAATTCGCGGCCACTGACGGAGCTGTTAAAGTCGAAAGCGGCTTCAACGGTGACGCAGCCTACGGGGATTTGTATGAACGTGGAGTCTGAGACACTCCCAGTTGATGAAAATGGGTTTTGTAACTTTGGTTGTAAAAAGTTGGATTAGTATGAAAATGCTGTGCACTACATTTCTTACCGTAACTGCGTAAATTTTCTCGTAGAAAGTTGGATTACTACCCTCATCCCAGTTTTCCAGTTGTAGCTGTCAGAGCATGGACAGTGAAATCCAGTCAAATATTTCAACTCCGAAATGAAATCAAACTAAAAATGCCAGGTAATAATCGAACAGAGCCATCAATTTCATTAACTTTTTCAACAATATTTTGCTATTTCAATCATCAAAAACTCTTTTACATTTGGCTTAGCTCGTTCAATTTCTAGCTTTTTCCAACAAAACGATAAACAACAACCCCAATCCTAGACCCGTCCCTTGGTGGGTCCGCATGTATAGTCTCAACACCAAAAAGCTTCTTCGCTTTCTTGAAAAACACAGAGTCCTTTTTCCACCTCCTCAGATGAGCCAGGACAAAAACTTTCTTCCCACCACCTCCTCCTCCCCCGTTCAACAGAGAATGCAGTGTTTGGATCAGAGGCTCGAAAAGATGATCATGATAAACCACGTCAGAAGCCAATACGAGATCAAATTCTCGGCCGATAACCTCCAAGTCATCATCCTCTCCCCACCTCAACGGAGCCACGTTGACGGTCCCACCTTTTTGAGCCACAACGTCAGCATTTGCGTCGACGTTGAATTGAAGGTTGGGGACGACGTGTGGCAAATCCGTCACCGTCACTTCAGCTCCTAGCGTGACCGCTGCGGCGATCCCAACAAGGCCAGTACCAGAGCCAAGCTCAAGGATTTTCAATTTCCGATCATTATCACCGTTGGACAAAGCGGTTACGGTGGTTGCGAGGGGGCTTTTGCTAGGGTGACGGCGATGGTTGTCAAGAAGAGTGACTAGAGTCGTAGCAGCTGGCCATAGCTGGAAGGAAAGCCCTTCAGAAGGAAGCTGTCTAATCACCACCGTTGACTCGACCGAACGGATATGATGCTCCTGCAGTTGTTGCTTCGCTGCACCGTCACCTAGCGTAGTGAGGCTCTTCCCTTCCTCTTGTTCGTGAGGCAAGATCATTTTAACGGGATCTATATCTTCGTCATCGTCTTCTTGAGTAGACATTTTCTCAACTCTGTTCTTTTTGCGCCGCCAACAGGAGAGCTCTCCCGCTCCATTTTTAAAACTGCCCTCATTGTCTAGGGCTGGTCCAGCGTAAAGACTAGAGACGACGTGGATTATTATATTATTTATTACATCACAATTTCGTTTGTCAATTTCCTAATTTAACCCTAATGGGATAAACGCTTTGGATTTGTCCATTATTATTATATTCTTAACTTAACCCCAATGGTCGCTTCGGTTTCCAGTCACTGAATGGAGGACTTTTTTGTCCATTTACAATTTTCAGGGCATTGCATATATATATATATATATATATATATATATATATATATATATATATATTTAGAGGCGAAAACCTTTGAACAGATTCAAAATTCTGTTTGGTTTTTAGAGTGGGCTGAGAGAGGAGCAAAGATGATAAAAGCTGTGATGGTGATGAACACTCAAGGCAAGCCTCGTCTTGCAAAATTTTACGAATATCTGGTAAATTTCTCTTTCTCTTTTGAATTTTTTTACTCTCATTTGATTATTATTATTATTATTATTTAAAAAATGAAGATCACGATCTTAGTACCTTGTTCAAATTCCTTTGCAATAATCGACCTGGCTCCGAATTTCGTTGAAATCAGCCAGTGGAGAAGCAGCAGGAGCTTATACGAAGCGTTTTTGCAGGTTCCGATCTCTTATCCAACTTGCTTCTTCTTCTTCTTCGTCCTCTTCTTCTTACTTTAGCTGTGATTAATTTGAATTGTGCTTTGTTTGGATCGCATGAATTTTAGATGCGGTTTTCTAATCTCATTGATGATTTAACCTAATCTATCGTTCTTGAATTCGTACTTAGAGTTTATTTTTCATTTTTCATTTTTTCTTTTTGCTTTAAATTTTGGTTTTGATCTTTATACAGTCTTGTGCAGTAGAGCTGAGAACGTAAGCAATTTCGTAGAGGCTGAATCGATTTTTGGTCCGGTAACTTCTTTTACTTTCTATTTTTTCTTCATTCCTAGTTTAGTTTTCATTTCCTTGTTATATTAAGGTTAGAAACCAATTAATTTTCATTTCGTCCTTTTCTTGATTTAAACTTCTTGTTTGAATCGTGTGTAGTAACTGCCGTAGCTTTATTTTAGCTCTGCTTTGTTGTAGAACTCTGTTTAATTGTTTTTGAATTCACACTTGCAGGATAGTCGCCTTGTATACAAGCATTTTGCTACTCTTTACTTTGTCTTTGTATTTGATAGTTCTGAAAATGAATTAGCCGTGCTGGACTTGATACAAGGTATGCTTCTCATATTTCTGGAAGAGTTATGATGCAGTAATCAAGCTATGAAATGTTGTTCTTCTGTGATACTATCCTTTCAAAATAGAGATTTCAATTACTCAATACTTGGAGATGTCCAAATATTTATATTGCGTCATAGATATGAAAACTTTTTTATAAAGCTGGAGCGAGCCTTTTTGATGGTTTTTCTGATGATTTGAAGTTGAATTCACTTCAGATACACCTTTTTGTGAAATAGGTTCTCTTGTACGAGGATTTACGGAAAACAAGAAAACAGAATTGATATTCATGTGCACTGGAATTAGTGATAACTGTTGTGTCACCCAACTTAGCTGAGTTTACCTCAGGTGTCTTTTAAGTGGCAAGTTTGGTTTCATCAATACAATTTGTAGATGTTAACTTGTATATAACCCTCTTTTTCTGTGTGTATGATTATAATAATAATTGTTATGAAACTATAAGATTCAATGAAGTTCTTGGCTCTAAAAATTGCATGTTATCTGATGAGAACAATGTACCAGGTTTGTCATGCATATCCTTTATAAACTAGAAGCTGGATATAGCAATAATTGCTGAAATTTATTTCAAATACTGGATAACTTTGCTTACTTTAAATGTGATGCCTTCAGTTTTTGTGGAAACGTTGGACAAATGCTTCAAGAATGTTTGCGAGCTTGACATTGTGTTCAATTACAGCAAGGTTGTACCCTCTCATCAATAATATATGCATTTATTTAGTGCCAGCGTATGCAAGATTCTACATATAGATAAGATATTGCTAGTTTGGAATAATAGGCATGAAGTGATTATATGACATTGGAGATGATGTTCTTGGTAAACTTATATGAGGTATGCTTCAGGTTCAGGTTTCAAACATTATTTGATGGCAGGGAAAGCTTCTTACGGTGCTTTGGGGTTCACCTCCAGTTGAGCTTGTTTA